GTGGGGGCCCGCGGGGTGGAGGCGTGTGGGGCCGAGAAAAAAAAGAAAAACTAATAGTTTTGGTTAACTAAACATTAAGGACACAACAAAAATAGTATAAAATAACTTTTATTTACATAATTTCTATCTGTAGAACATAACTGCTTTCTTTAGAACAAGAAAATTTACAAATGACAGATATTCAGATATTGCTTTTTTTGTCAAAGATTTCTTCAAGCAAGATAATATATATACATGGTCACTTCTATTTTAAATAATATAGTGGTAAACAGTAGATATTCATATTTTTATCTGTGCCTCAATCATTTACCAACAAATTAGGCTTTTAAACCAGCATGTTCACCATTTGCTAAGACGTAAGTGTTCAGGAGGAAAAATCAAGAAAAAAATAAAGACCTTTATAATCATATCTCCTTTAAGATTCATAAAATACAAATTCTTTCCAACATCATCTTTACATGAATGAGATTAAATACAGGTATATGAACAAGTCTTTCCACCTTAAAAAGTAAATAAATACACTGATTAAGGTTCCCTTTCTCCAAGGTAGTTTAAGGACTTAATAGTAGGATAATTTAGCTGGGTGACTTGATTCTCTAATACAATAAATGCCCAAAAGATAAAATTAATCTTTATACAGTAAGAAGTAACATCTTTCATAAAATTAATTCACTGTAGATGAACAAGAGATAGACATTAACAAAGTTAAAACAGAAATATTATACAAAAGATAAAATAATAGTTTAATTGTGGCAACCTAACACCCAAATTAACATTAACTGAATGAAAGAAACCTTTTCAGAATGAGATTTTAAAAAATTTATAAAAACAGGGCATTAAAATAGCAATGTGATTTACTACCACGATTCTTGTGATCACATAAAATAAATAAATGCATATCTATAAAGAATTTCCACTCAGATTTAGAGATCCTCCTTTATGAAAAAAGTTAAACTGTAAATTTCACTACAAGAAAATGAAGAAATGCTCTAATATAAATTGTTTTAATAAATTAGGATTACTGTTGTACTTCCTCCTGAGCTACATCCTATTTTACCGATGAACTTGAAAACTGCCCTCCATTTTTTTCAATATACAAACACAATTATCTAGACATTAAAATACCTTCCCATTGAAATACTGATCATTCCATAATGCTAACAACAATTTTAATTGTTAGGCACAACTTATAACTTCAATGACAAATATCTCATAGCTAAAGACATCAGCACCTTAAGGTAAGAAAATTACTATCTTGTGTAGAGGGTCAAACTAAAAGTGCAATCCAGCCACATCCACATTGAAGTATTGTCTGTGGCTGTTTTCAACTAAAATGGCAGAGTTGAGTAGTTGCCACAGAGGCCATCTGGCCCACAAACTCGAAAATATTTTGTGAAAAATGTTTATCAACTCAGGATAAATCTGCTCTTCGAGATATTTAATTGAACCACACCAAAGAATTACTTGGGTAAATAACAGAATTACACATGTAAATCACAAAGTCAAAAAGAACTCAAATTCATATTGATAATAACTGACGTCACGGTCTCATCATCTTATTTTCTGTTACTAATATCACAATTACATTCTGCACTTAAAGGCCTAAGTGTACCTTAAGCAGAATTTAATAAGGGAAAAACTATCAAGAAATTGATTTTTTTAAAAAGGAATGTGTGTTTGTGAGAGTGTGTGTAAAGGAGATTGAGTTTTGCATGGAAAATTTGCCTCATAAACGAAGGTAAGGGTTTTCTTTCCCATACAAATCCTGAGATTATCCAAGAAATAAGAAAAACAAAATATTCACAGTACAAAGTCAATATACTAAAACTATGAGAAAAAATGTATTCAAAACATATACACTATCCAAATACTTTTAGTTATATCACTTTAAATATCTTTAAAATTAAAGAGGGAAAGGAGACAAAATTGTTAATGCCTTCTTTACCCAAATTCTGAGGAGTGAAAATAATTAAAACTGAATATTCTATTAAATAAAAAATTTAAAAATAAATAAGCTTTTTGATGTTTCATCTTTATAAATAATAAGTTTAAATACTAGTTCTTCAATTAGGACTAATGTTAACATGAATTAGAAAAATACATATTTTCGGTCAAATAGCTGATAATAGAAAAGTTTTTAACAATTACCTTTCATATACTTAGAGGCAACTGAAAAGGCCTTAATCACCCAAAGAAAAATCCAAACAAACAGAAAACACCTTCACAAAAGTAGTTTGCTAAATGTTAAATACAATCCACAGCCAAATACATCAGCACTGTGATTTATACAGAGACATTTATCCACGCTCACAACACTCCAAAATGTCCATGTGTTTTCAGCACAGGAAGAGTCAAAATGTAAACAGGAGTTGCTATTTCAGTCGAGAAAGCAGTCTTAATTGCCTGGTAATTCCAGAATGCTGAGTTAGTCAGGATGAAAGGAACCTCAGCAAGGTTTCCCACCGATTATAAAAACTTCAAATCAAGCTTATTAAATATTCAAAATCAGCATAAAGAAAAACAAACATGATGCTTTTTTTCTAAATACTGTTTTTGTTGATATAACTGACTCTGGAAATCCTAAACTTAAAAAAAAAATACACTTTCATTCTGTTTTATCCACTTCAATAAAGATATCACTAAAGAAATATTCAGAGATTGTGGTTGGCTCTTCTTCAAGTGCCTGGTTTTGGACACTTTTACATTCTTCTTCCGGTAAGGAACGATCAGGAGAAACCTAAAAAGAGGTAATAAAAGTAAGTATGCAATGTAACCTTCGTGTATTGGTAGCAGCAGTCTAAACTGGTATCTGTTTGAAAAGTAATACAGCATAAATATTAAGAGCTTTAATTGTTCACACTCACTGATCCAAAAACTTCACTTCTGTGCTATTACACTAAGGAAATAATCCTAAACAGTAAGAGTTTTGTGAATTAAATAACCCTCGTAGCATTAGTTATAATAAAATTGGAATCAACAAATAACACATGATTAAGTTAATTGTAGTGCATCCATGATCCATCACATCACCCTAATTTCCATGAAAAAATTTTAACATAATAGAAAAATATAACATCATTAAGTCTACAATCGAAACATTTTATTTTTTTAAATTATTTTTTAGTCCTCATCCAAAGACATCTTCCCATTGCTTCTCAGAGAGGGAGAGAGGGAGAGAAACATGGATGAGAGACGCACATCGATCGGCCGGCTCCCACTCACGCCCCACCCAGGGCCAGGGATCAGGCCCCGGACCCTTCAGGCCATGCACTGACACTCTTCCTGGGCCGATGCTCTTACCACTGAGCAAAACCAGACCGGGCTACAATGAAAACATTTTAATAACCAGTATAAAAAGACAGGAAACAGAACAGTACCCAATAGAATCATCACAAATGAAAGCAATTCTATCAAAAATTAGCATACTTATAAATCTATCAAAAATTAAGACAGGATAGTATCAGCATAGATATAGACATGCATATCAATTATGGATGGAAATAACATATGGATGAAAATTTAGTATCTTATAAAAGTGATGTTTCCAAAAGGAAAATAAGAAAAGCTGAATTATTCAATAAATGATGATGGACAACTGTATAACCATCTCAGAAAAAAAAAGAAAGACCTATATTTCACCAAAATGAATTTACATGATTTAAAAGATTTAAATGTAAAAACATTTTTTAAAACTCTACTATAAAATACCATGGGAAAACTTTTCTAAGAGTGGGGGAGAGGGAGTATCTTTTTAAATGACAGGAAAGCCAGAAGCCATGAAAGATTGAGAAATTCATCTATTTAATAAAAAATGTGTGCATAGCAAAAACCACCACACACAAAATCAAAAAACAAATGACATACAGGGAAATATATATCTGCAACCTATATCACAGATAAAGAGTTTTCTTTAATGTAATAACAGCTTCTACAAATCAATATGAAAAAGACTAATAATTCATTATAAAGTCAAATGATATGAACAGATGGTTCACAGAAAAAGCATAAATGATTGAAATACATGAAGAGATGTTCAACCTCACTCTTTAAATCTGTAAAGAATGATAAAAGTAAAAGAAAACTGTTAACATGTCCATGTGAGGAAAAGGGCCCTCTCACCTACTGCTGATAATAGAAACTGATACCATCCCTATGGAAGATAATCAGCTGATATCTGTCAAAAGAAAAATCATTCCTTTTGAGCAGCAATTCTATTTCTAGGAAATTTAACCTGCAGATAAAGGTGCAAAATGGCCCATTTATGAGTTAGCTATTGCTACACTGTTTGAAATAGCAAATAATTAGGAATAACCTAAATGCCTACCATATGAGACCAATATTACTTTATGGTACACCCAAACAATAGAATGTTATGTCATCCTTAAAAATAAGTACAGCACTCTTGGACACTTATTCTTAAAAACTGAAAACAAATACCTGTACATAAATGTTCGTAACAGCTTTATTTATAATAGCCAAAAACTGAAATTCACAACCCCAATGTCCTTCAATGGGTAAATGGATAAACAAAACTGGTACGTCCATACTATGGAATACTATTCAGCAATAAAAAGGAAAAAACTATTGATACACAAACCATTTAAATGACTCTGTAGGGAACTATTTTTGGTGAAAAGGAGCCAATTCCAAATGTATGAATCCATTTACACAACTGTATATGAGATGGCATTTACATCACTTTTTTGGAATGACAAATTTAATGCAGAACAGGTTTTCAGAAGTTAAGGAGAGAGTGAAAAGAATGTGGTGGGGTGGTACAGGGTGGAAGTGGGTGTGTCTATAAAAGGGCAACACAAAGATTCCCTGTGGTGACAGAGCTGTTCTGTATCTTTGCTGGAGCAATGTCAGTATGCTGATTGTGATATTGTACCCTAGATTTAGAAGATGCTACCCCTGGGGAAAACCAGATAAAGGGTATATACACTGGGATCTCTCTGTATTCTTTTTTACAACTGACGTGCATCTACAGTGACCTCAAATAAAGTGTAATTTAAATTTTTTAAAAAGAAAGAGAGAAAGAGGAAGTTCTTTAGCTACTGCTTTGCAAACATCTCCAAGACGTACTGTAAGGTGAAAGCAATATGGAAGAGAACAGTAGAGTATTATTTATATAAAAAAGAAAAATGTTTATATTTGTGAATACATAAAATATCTCTGGAAAAGTAAACCAAAAGCTGATCATACTATATATCTGTGGAAAGGGGGAATAGGAAGCTGAAAGGACAGATGTGGGAAACATTTTACTGTAAACTCTTTTTTACAGATTATGAATTTTAAGACGTGGAATATATTACTTATAAAAAAAATAAAATAGCAATTAGAAAATAACATTTAGTTTAGATTCTTGTCTCTCACTATATACCAAATATACCTCACACTATATACCAAAGTCAATAACCATGAACAGAATTAATTTAAAACTGAAATTTTTATACCTCTGGATAAGAAATTGCAAAAAAAAAAAAAAGTAATGGATTTCACTAAACATTCAAAACTTGCAACAAAAAAACCTCAAAAATTTTAAAAAATAAACAAACTTGGAAAAACTACTTGCAGCAAAGAGCTAGAAAGTATCTGGCCTTTTTACACACATAAAAATCTCACACAAATTGGTAAAAACACACACTAAGATCCCAAAAGCTGTAAGTTAGCAAGATGGAAACAGGAAAAAATATCTAGTAAATATATGGGGAAAAACCAAGTCACTAGTAACTGAAGAAATGTAAATTAAAAAAATTAAATGACATGTCCACCCCTCTACCATTATATTAAATAAATATTTACTTTGAAGAGTTATTTATCTAATGCTGGCAAGGACGTGATTAAACTGGCATGGCAACACTGCTGGTAATTACAGCACTGTTCTCCAAAGTAATCTGGCAATAATAATAAAGGCCCAGAAAATCTTGGTCTCAGAAGAAAATTCTAGGAAATAATATAAAAAATTAAAAAGATGTTAAAGGTATTTTTACAAAAGTACTCTTTCCTTTGAGTTTCATGCTACCCACTAGCGGTCACCAGCCTTTGTTGAGATGTTAAGTCACCCAATATTCTTCTGAAGTCTTTAATACAGGTTCACAGATTTTTCCATCCCAATACTTCCCATATGCACAGCTTTGGAATGCATAGAAAGAAAACATGCAAACAAATTCTAATCTTACCATTCCTTGATTTCTTGCGGGTGTCAGGACATTTTTCTGCAAGTAAATAAAATGTAAGTACTGCTTTGTTTTGCTTTCACGGTCAGAAGGGTCTTTGCTTGAAAGAAATGGCAATTAAGGGTCTATTCATATTTATAGCTGGTCCAATGGCTCTATAATAAACTAGCTGCAACTTCCTAATGAAACACCTTATCTTCTTCCAATATAGTGGGGAGTGCATGGGTATGAGGAGGACATTGATAAGATTTGTTCGGCAATAATTTCTGACATCCATATAAAAATAACAATTGCTGCCCGCCGGACATGGATCAGCGGTTGAGCATCGACCTAGGATCCAGGAGACCAGGGTTCCATTCCCGGTCAGGGCACATGCCTGGGTTGTGGGCTAGGCAGCCGATCAATGACTCTCTCATCATTGATGTTTCTCTCTCTCTCTCCCCCTCCTTTCCTGTCTCTGAAATCAATAAAGATATATTTTTTAAAAATAATAACAATTGCCATGTTTTTCCTAGTTGAGTCTGATATCCAACCCATTCTATATAAACAATCAAATTAGTTATCACATACCTGAGTTGCTGAACTGCCAATATTCTCAGATTGAGTATTAACAACACTTGGAGATGGAAGCAGATCAGAAGACTCTTGAATTTTTTTCTTGCTTTCACTGAGTAGATTGGATCTTTTCAAATTCTGTCTTGATACAGGTATAAGAGGTTTTAAGCGTTTCTTTCTAAGAACCTGAATAGGTTCTTCAGACTCCAAACTATTCTTTGAACATATTAAAGACAAAAATCCCAGGGGTCTCCTGCCAGGTCTAGAAATGGAAACAAAGACATTCAAGAATATCCAGGAAGACACATTCTTAATACCAACTTCTTTCCATTAATCCTACAATGATACATGTGATACCACATTAGTGGTATCGGCACATCTACTAAGTACTGATACCACCATTCCATGACATGTATTGTGACAAAGGTCAAAGCGTACTCTAGAGCAGTACTTCTCAAGCTTAAAAGTGCATACAAATCACCTGGGATCTTATTAAAATGAAGATTCTGACTTAGTGGGGGGTGGGGCCTGAGTTCTGTATTTCTAACAAGTTCTCAAATGATATCCATACTGCTGGTCCCAGGACCAGACTTTGAATACCAAGGCTACAGAGCAGAGGTCAGCAAACTATCACCCACAGGCCAAATGCAGTCTACCACCTGATTCTATAAACAAGTTTTACTGGAACACAGCCAGTTCATCTGTTTAAATATGATGCTTTTGCACTACAAATGCAGGGTTGAGTAGTTACAACAAAGACATATGGGCCACAAAGCCTAAAATATATACTACATGGTCTTTACCAAAAAAATTTGCTGACCCTTATTCTAGATACTGCTTCTCAACCAGCTTTACCCCAAACCCCATGACGCCTCCCTCCATGTTCAGCACATTTCTAAGACCAGAAAAGATACTGCTGAGCTTTACTTTCTGTAGTTTATAGAACAAAAATAACAGATTAATTAAATATGCCTTTTTAAGCCATACAAGCCTCCCCCAACCCTTTCCTTTAGTGGAGATTAGTGCATGTCCTACCCTCTTCAACTCACCAACACCATACTAATGACTTTAGTACTGCTGGCAAGCCAATAATTGTCCATAACCCAGAGGCTTTGCTCCTAGAATATGAGGAAAATAATGTGGGGAAAGCTGGCTTTCGGCTTAAATTCCACACTTACTCTCATAGGGACAAAGCCATGGTTTACCTCTGGTATGCCACAAGGGGGAAAAATGCACATTATTTGGGACCTCAATAAAACAACACCCAGAGCTATTGCTGATGTTAGCCTGTGTCTTGGGTCATCTATATCTGCACTGGCAGCTACTTTATGATAGAACAATGATCAAAGTAACAACCATGGACAGCCTGGAAAACAAAGTAGATAATACTAAACCCTAAAAATTTTCTATCTAAAGAGTCCCAGTTTTAGCACTTATTAGAGATTTTCTCATGATACCTGGAGAGTGTGGTTTTTGAAGATGATGTGATGCTATCCACTTGTTCAGACTTAGAAGCTGCACCAGTTCCTTCTTCCTTACCAGACACAATCACCTTATCCTGAAGTAACTGAGGTGTATTCTTTTCTATATGTGTATCAATTATTTTATCAATAGGTCTAGATCCTATACTCTGAAAAGTTGGTTCAAGTTGCTCTTCCTGAGGTTCTGGAGTTGTATGTGTGCTTTCTGAAGTAGGGAAGATATCTTGTCCCTTGTAAGACTTTCCTTAAAAAATAAGAAAACAAATGGTAAGCACACATATTGAAATTAATACAAACAATTGAACTGCAATATTTGAAAGAAAAAAACCATGATATTCTATCATAAATGTGCCCTAATAAGAGTAATCTAAATTATAAATTAATGGAGTTGCCTCAATTCTTAAGAATAATATAACTAGTTAAAAGCTAAAGCAACAGCTTCTGTATTCAGATACAGAATAGTAATATCAATATATTTTCACCTAGAAAATCTTTCTCCATAAATATTTCTTGAACTAACAAAGTGATCACTTTCTAATCGCAGGGTATAGCTAAGGACCTATGAAAACTCCTTTATACCCAGCTTTCTCATTCCTAAAATGTAGTTGAGGGGTTACAGCACTGGTCTTGTAAAATGTAGTCGAGCTTTTTCAGGAATCCTGCAGATATATGGTTTTCTATTAAATACAGGAAGAAAGTAGATTTTTATGGCTCCCAAAGTGTCAAGTCGAAAATCTCAGCAAGGAAGAAAAAGTTCTAATAATAAAAGCATGATTCTCAGAGGAAAGTGAGCAAGACTGCTTCAATCACAAATTTGAACAAGATGGGTCAAAAATAATCAGGGGTGTGTAGGAAAGTATAACCGTAGTAAAATTTACTCACCTGTCTCTTCCAAAACATTTATTAATTCCTTTGAAGATACCTGTTTTAAGAAAATTTACCAAAAAATTAAAAATCTGTTTAGCAAATAAAATGAATTTTCTTTCTTTTTTTTAAGAAAACATGTATCGCCCAAAAAGCTCTAGGGTAAGCCATGTCTTACAGGAATTCTACTAAACATTTATGGAAAAGACATTGTCACTGTTACTTAAATTGTTCCAGAGCACAATAAAAAAGGGAAATTTCCAAATACCTTTTATAAATTAAGCATAATATTGATACCAACTAACCATTTTCACATCAGTACAAAAATATCAAATGAAATATTACACATAATTTAGCAGTACATCAGAAAACTAATAATGTATAATCAAGTAGAGTTTATTTCAGAAATGCAAAAATGATTCAATATTATGAAATCTATTAATATAACTCAACAAATTTGAAAAGAAAAAAAATAATATATCTACTTTTTGCAGGAAGTGTCCAATAATACTCATTCTTGAAAAACAGCAACAACAACAAAAACCCTTAAAATTGAATAGACAGAAATTTTCTTAAAACCCTAAAACACAACAGTGGCAAACCAAAAGCCAGCATCCCACTTTAGAAACACTAGAAGTATTCCCATTGAAGTCAGGAATTTAAAAAAAAAAGGTTGAATACCAAAAATGTTTTCTGATTTTTTTTTAGTTATCTTAGTCAATATAATTAGAAAAGAGAAAGAAATTAAAGGTATAAAAAGTAGACGAGAAGAACTGAAGTTATATTTGCATATGATACAATTGTTTACTTAGAAATCCCAAGAGAATCAACTGAAAAACATGCATACAATGAGGGGAGTAGGGGAATTCAGTAAGCTCTCTCGGTAGAAAAGAATTTAATGACACTAGGAACAAAATAGGTAAAATTCTTCGAATAATCTAATAAAAAATGTACCAGATTTATATGAAGAAGAGCTTAAAATACCACTAAAGTACACCATGTTTTTGGATGGAAAGATTCAACATCACAGTTATGACATCAATTTTCCCTATGTTAATCTGTCAAGTAATATGATCCTAATACAAGTACCAATAGGGCTTTTTTAATGTTCTGAGCAAGCTAATTCTAAATTTGATACGAACTTTAGAACATAGAATAACTAGGAGAAACTTGAAAAAAAAAAGAAAAGTTATTTGGGGGGGGGAATATCCCTTTATTAAAGCACTTAGAAACCACAATAATTAAAACAGCATGATAACGGCCCCAGAACAAATAGGTGATAGGTGAATAAATGTAGAAGAAAAGACAGTTCAGGAACATACCCAAATACATATTGGAATTTAATATCTGATAAAAGTGAATTTTAAATGAGTGAAGAAAAAAGGAATTATTTAGTAAATGGTGCTGGAACAACTACATAGGCATCTGGGTTAAATTAAGTTAGTTCCACTCTTCCTAACACCAAAATAAATTGTAAACAACTTAAAAATGTTAATGAGAAGACTATATTAAATCTCAAGGTAAATTTTCAACATATAACATAATCACCATAAGCCATACATACAAAGACTGATAAATTTAATCATAAAAAAATAAAAAATGTTTGTCTATCTAAAGGCAGTATGTGTGCATTCTAGAATTTAAAATTATAACATTGACTTTTATAAGCAAATTTTATTGTTAAAACATGAAAACAAGGTTTAGAAAAGAAAAATAACAAATTAGCCCAACAGATATATACTTTTCTTCAATGTACATCTATCATTTTTTAAATGGAATATTAAAAACTGATGACTGTCAGCTAGAGTGGCTCAGTTGGTACAGTCATCCTGAGCATACAAAAGGTTGCCACTTTGATTCCCAGTCAGGGCACATACCTGGGTTGCTGGTTTGACCCCTGGTAGGGGGCATGCATGGAAGGCAACCTATCGATGTCTCTCTCTTACATGAATGTAAATGTCTCTCCCAATCCCCTTTCCCCCTACACATGTCCTCAATACATATATGCATAACCCATGGACATGGACATTAGTGCGGTGAAGGCCTGGGGCAGGGAGTGGGTGAGGGGTGGAGGGAGTCAATGGGGGAAAAGGGGGACATCTGTAATACTCTCAACAATAAAGATAAATTTAAAAACAAAAAACAAAATCAAACCAATGACCTAGTTTTACATATAGTAATGTACTATGATATTTTTTCCATGTCATTAAATATACTTTTAAAACACAAAAAAAACAATACAATGTCTACATGGAATGCTAATTGTTGAAACTGGGCAACTACTACACAGGGATATATTATACTAACCTGTCTACCTCTTTAAATGTTTGAAAGTGTTCCTATTAAAAAGTTAACCAAAAAAAAGTCTCCATGAGAAAACCACATAAAGTAGAGTCAAATGGCAAATAACAAACCAGGAAAAAATATTTGCAACTCATATCACAGACATACGTAAGAGAGTTCCTCTAGCCCGGCCGGGCGTGGCTCAGCAGTTGAGCATCGACCTAGGATCCAGGACATCGAGGTTCAATTCCTGGTCAGGGCACATGCCCGGGTTGCGGGCTGGGTTCCCAGTCGGGGGCGTGCAGGAGGCAGCCAATCATTGACTCTCTCATCATTGATGTTTCTACCTCTCTCTCTCTTTCTCCCTTCCTCTCTCTGAAGTCAAGAAAGATATATTTTTTAAAAAGAGAGAGTTCCTCCAAATCTATAAGAAAAAGACCAACAACCCAATTAAAAAATGGGTAAGGAATATACAGTCATCTCACAGAAAATACAAATGGCTCTTGAGAATATGAAAAGATGCTCAACCTTACCCATAAGAGAAATTAAAACTATTCTGGGACACCTTTTTTCACCTATCAGATATACAAGGATACACTGCCTCTGTTGTCCGCTATCACCTAAGGACTACTAGTCTTCAACTGTCCTTTTGAGAATACAAATTCTTAATGAACTTTTCCATAGTGGAGTACATCATGACAAGTACCAGAAACAAAAACCAGAGGGCGCTAAGAAATAGACAACACAGTGCGTGCTGACTGAATCTGTGTAGTATTATCAGGCTTCTCTAAGGAAGTGATAATTGAGCTAAAGAAGTTTGTATGTTTTGCAAGGGAATGTTTCAGAAAAAGAGACAGCAAAAGAAATGGCCCAAGACATGAAGGAGTGCTATGCTTTTGAGAAACTGAAAGATGACCAACTTGGTTAGAGTGAGGTGGAGATGAGCACAAGACAAGACTAGAGACAGAAATGAGCAAGATAGAGCGCCTTAGAGGTTGTTTTTATTCCTAATAGGTTCTGTTTTTATTCCTAATAGCAACAGGAAGCTTTAAGCATTATGATAATGGTGGTGGTGATATTACTATCATCATTTTACACAACAGCAAACTCAATCAGAGAGGTGAAGATTCTTGCCTGAGGTCTCACAGCTATTAAGTGGTACAACCAAGATCTAGACCTGTGTAATGCTTTTGGCCTATTTTTAGCTAATGACACAGAGCTGGAAATGGATTTCCTGATTAATGTCCATCAATTTTCATGTAGAACAGGTTAAAAGTAAAAACACAAAGCTAGTTTTACTTGAATTATTTATGATGAAAAGTACTAAAACTATCTTTATATAAAGAATATAAAGGAAAAAACAGAAATTGATCTGTTGTAATATGGCCATCTTACTTAATGACTCTCTTACCTCAGAGGTATATTTTTGACAATTGTCTCTTGAAGTGAGTGAACATTTTTTAGCAGGAAGAACATAGTCACTTTCATCGGGCCTACAATGAAATCTCTTCCTAGACGTAAGATCCAAATTAGCAGGAGGCTTTTCAGAATCATCACTTCCAGAATTAGATAAACACATGGCATCCTGAACAACTGAAGTTACTGGAAAACTTATACTGCATAGAAAATACATACATATTAAATCAGTGAATTAGAAGTTATTTAATGAGGTTAAAGGCTGAGCAATTCCAATCAAAACTGCCAAAAACACTTCAAAGAAGTAACTAACACATACTTGGCCATGACCACAAAAATGTTATTGAGCTCCACTAATACTTAAAGACTTAAAACTTAAATTCCATAATATTGAACTAAATCTGAGGCATAAAAAGTTCTTGTCTGTAAAGTTAAATTTTAATTTAAAATGTCTCTAATATAAAAAGTTTCAATTTCTAATGCTACTTAATAGACAATTAAGCATCTTAATCAATTATTATTAAAATCCACAGCAAAGAATTAAAATGAGTATCAAAAACATACAGAAATATTACCTATTTTTGCAACTTTCTGTGAATGTATATTCATTTCAAAATTTAAAACATGTATGTTTACAAAGTAACCAAACCTTTAATAGGTGCCACTTTATGATACAGACTGCTAAGTGTTAGCTTTCAAAACACATAAAATACCAAACAAGTTTCATACAAAAAAATTATATATTTAAGTGACATCATCAGATATAAAATAAACAATCTGTTCTCTAGTTTACCACATAATTACTAAATAAGATATCTAGAACAATTACAAATGATGTTGGTGAATGGCTCGTAACAATCAATAAATTTGATTCATAAAGCACCTTTTCTTCTAGCAAAAACAGATTAGCTCATTCATTACCTCATGTCACCCTTTTCTTCTGTAGTCACTGATTTGACCAATATGGGCGCTGGCAGTAACGGGTTTGGCATTAAGTGTGTAGCAGTATCAGTAAATGCTTCTACTGCATTGGTTGGAATTTCCACCAGAGTTAATATGAATGCTTGTTCATCCTCACTGTCGTGATGTAGGTTACCAGCCAGGTTCACTATCAAAGTTTAAAAGTTAGTAATGAAAAGCTGAACCATGAAAAAACAGAAAATCATTAATTTATTTCATTTCTAAAAAGCTTCAAAACAACTGACTGCCAAGAATAAAAACTGAACTACATCCAAAAAATAAAAAGTAATTTTATAAAGGATAAAGGTGATTCTCTACTGAGATTTATAATTTTGACCAACAAAATACGTCGTTTTGTGTGTGTTTTTTCATTTAACAACCATCATAGAAAAAAACACACAAAACTGTTTTGTTTTTTCCAGTCAAATGGGGGGTAAAAATCATACTGTTAGGCTCTTTGATACTCTACTGAAGCAGATTATCATACCTGTTAAATCCTGAGGATTGATTACATTCTCTTTTTGGACTTCTGGAGTACTAGTTGGTGTGCACTGCCATAAAAATTAAAATGAAAGAGTGAGGTTGACCAAATCTCAGTTTTAAAAAGTTTTCCTGACACTATGATACAGTGAACAGTTATTGTTTCAAAACTCAACAATTATCTAACCATATGCAATTTTTCAAGTGTTTTGAAACTTTTAGTTGTACCAATAAACTTTTGATAAAGTTAAACACACACACACACACACACACACACACACACACAGGAATTCATACTAAATTGTTCAATATGTATCATCCATGAAATGAATTTTCAAGTAACAGGAAAGAGAGAGCCAAACCCCTCAACCTTTCTCTGTCCTCATTACAGGAGCCACTGTAGCATTACTAGTAGATGGCACGTGAATGGAGGCAAACTGGTCTCCTTGCCTCCAGCATGGCTCCCTCCCATCTGTTTTCCACAAAATTGCAAACATGGTTTTCTCTAAAATGCAATTCTGATTCTAAGTCTCTACTGTTTAAAAATCTCAAAGCTCTCACTTTGTAACCAACAGTGATTGACTTAGGCGAGAATCATCAATGTACACTAAAAGTTGGACACATAGTAATAACATCTCAATAAATGCTTGCTCTGTGAATGAACTTCTCACATCCAGGGGCTAAGTAGAAAAAGATCAATTCTCTGTGTACAAAACACTTCCTTTTTCAAAGTTTTTACAATGAAGCTAGGTATTGGCTAGTTTATCTCTATGCTCCAGAGACTAAAAGCACAGTATAAATTCTATCACAGTACATTCTTGCAAAGGCAAAACAGATCAGTGGTTGCCAGGGGCTAGAAGTGGCGAGAGGGGAGATGTATACTGTGTTTATATTATATCTTAATTTTTTTTTAAATGAGGAACAAACACCTAACTGCCACTTGTTATGTTTTTCATTCTTTTACCTCTGGCACATAAAGTGTAAGCACATTGTCTCCACTCGAGTCCTTTTTCAGGGGCTCTCCAGCAGAACTCTCACTCAGACCCCTACCCAAACCAAGTGTATGGGAGCTTGACTCAGAGGAAACAACTGGAGCAAATGACAATAGCTGAACTTCTTGAGATCCCTGTTCTTTATTTTCCTTCCTGAAAGAGAAATTAGTATGTATTAGTTTCAGCATATATTTGAAATCAAGCACACAATCAAAGAATAATGTTTAGAGCTAGGTACATCAAATTCATCTGATTTAATGTTTTTTAAAACTTTTATATTATATTTAATGCAACAGAACCTGTTTTTTTTGTTTGCTGGTTTGTTTTTAAATCTAATTCTTATGGCTACAGCTGAAACACAATGGAAATGAAAGCCCACGACCCCTCCCTTTTACCTCTCAGCCAGGCTCGCCTCCCGCACGGTGCTGGTCTCGTCCAACCCGGGTACACATGCCAGTCTGCTCTGCTCCTTATTCTCCGCTGTTGTAACTGACTCAAGGTTTTTATCTTCTAGGCCTGTTGCTTTAGAAGCATTTTTCTCCATTTCTTAAATAAAAAACATTTAAGATATAGTCCAAAATAGTACAGCTAAATTCTCCATATTAGAAACACATTCTTTCTTCGAAGACAGATCACTATATAGTGGGCTCTTCCAAACATCTCTTAATCCAAAAAGCAAGTTTATTCACAGGGCAGAGGGGTAGTCCTGGCCAATGAGATTTTTGACAGTAAAACATGATTAATGAACCCTACACTGCACATATTTCACTCCTGGCTACCACAACAACTCTATCTCCACTTAATGATAACAGCAGTTTAATTAGAAACCCACAAACAAAAGAGGTTCAGAGGTGGGTACACATGAGTTCCATCTTGGGAAAAGTCCTGGGGAGGGAGCTGTTCTACAAAGAACAATGTCACAAAGGGGAAGAAAATGACTTCTTTATAGAAAAGGTAACCTGAGCCGGCATAATGAGAGAGCTCTGGGAACTGCTCAAACCAGAGTAAGTAATGAATTAACTATCTGGACCACAGGCATTGCTGGTTGAAAGAGAAATCCCAGAAATCAGGAATCCCAAAACAGAAAAGATGATGCTAACCATCCAGACCTTCTACATACAACATGCAAGGTTCAATACAATCTCAGTAAATATATCAAACATCACTAACTTGTACATTTTTAAAAGTGCTGAACAGTGTACAGTATGCATACATTTTTACTTTCTGATAAGAATACACAGACACACACACACACACACACATATATGGGTGTACACATACCCTCATTAGATGCTTATGTGTATAAAATATTTCTGGAAGTCTAAGACTGTTAAGAGCAGTTTACTACTAGAAGTTGGATTAGGGGGTTGGGAAGCAAAGGAGGAGGGAGTTTTTAAAATCATGTGCCTTTTGGGCACTGTTATTTTCTGCCACATGCGTGTATGCCTTTCTAAGAAATGTGTGCTTCAGTATTCATGTACACACAACACACCACACACACACGAACACACACAAACACAGAGAAAAAATACATATGAAAAGAAAGTTTGGTCAAGTAAGTATAGCAAAATGGTAATATTTACTGAAACAAATTGGTGGATTTACAGGTATTTATTTTATACTTCATTCTACTCTTTGTATATTTGAAATTAATAGTAAGTTAAAATAAGTTTAACTGAATATTCCATTTGAAATGTTAATGCAATTTCTTGTGTCAAAGTAATTTTATAACTTGCAAGGGAACAATAAAATTTACCTCTTTGAATTTCCACTTCTCCTTTGGTTACAAACAAACTGGGAACTTCCTGATGAGCACCAAATCTGTTGGTCCCTAAAATCTTCCTAAGATTTGGCTTAGGCTTGGCAAATCTACTTCTCATTCTCAAATTATTGGTCACCTCAGGAGTTTTAGTCCTAGAAAAAGGGAAAAAAAGAGAGAAATTTGTCAATGTGTAATTCTCACATTGATACATTCTGTCTAGCACTGATACAATTATGGTCCACCTTCTAAGGAGCCACGATGTCTATAAGTTTCATTTCTTAATGTTAAAATTATGTGGTAATAACTTCACTAAATGTCTTGAGAAGGGAAGAGAATCTGGACCATGTTTGTAAAACAAAGACTATTACATAAAACTATTTCATTAAAGCCTCAAAGACACACATATTGCAGTAATTTTAATATGTAAAACATTAAACTAAAATAAAAGTCAGCCAATCATTAAAGGGTGAGAAATTAGCATTGCCTACTTTACATTTATACAAGTATTATTCAAAGCTATTAACTAAATTGATGATTGGTTTAAATACATTTATTAATAGAATACTATATTTTTTAATAAAACTCAAAAGAAATAATAATTTAATAAAGCAAAATAAACCTGGTTGATACAGCATTTTCCTTTACTTTCTCCGTTAAACCAATTTCTTCTTCAGTACTTTGTTTCTCCAATACAATCTTGTTTTCTTCTAATGATGAAAGAGGTATACTATTGACAGGTGAAGAAAGCTCCTGACATTCATGAACAATTCTGTCACTGACATTATCTGGGCTAAAAGGAATATGGCTTTTATCCTTTGAATGAACACCAGGAGGTACACATACTCCTGTTACAGAAAAAAATAGAAAATACAAATAGATGTAGAAATAAAATAAGTCGTTCAACATTTAGCAAATGCAAAATTCTATGTTGTTTTTAAAGTTTGCTCTATTGGGCTCCAAAATTAAATTTATGATCTCATATTTTATGCCAAAGATTTGACCTATTCTAATCTTAATTCTTATAGACAGAAATTTTTTGGTTATTATAAGAAAAAAATGAATCTTTTTGTTACTTTCAGTAAATAACCTCAAATGAATTTCAAGATAGGATCACCTTTATTTACAATTTATTAAAACCTGTATTTTATGTTCTAAAGATTTGCGACAGGCTCCAATGCAATACTCTGCGTTAAGAAAGACGCCCGCCCTGGCCAGGTGGCTAAGCTGGTTGGAGTGTTGTCCCATACACCAAAAGGTCACAAGTCTGATTTCTGGTCAGGGCACCTACCCAGATTGAGGGTTTGATCCCAGGTATGGGAGGCAACCAATTGGTGTTTCTCTTTCTCTCTCTCTTTCTCTGTCCATCTCCCTTCCTCATTCTAAAATCAATAAAAACATGTCCTTGAGTGAGGATTAAAAAAAAAAAAAAGATAAGCAATGGTTTTGTTCGCCTCATACAATCTAAGGTTTATGCATCTTTAAAAGAAACATTTCTGTATTCACATGCCATATTTATAGAGTAAAATAAAAAAAAAATAAAAAATAGAAGCCCTATAGGGAATACAAATCAGAGAGTTTACTGATAAATATATAATTACAAGCCTAAAAGTCTAACACCTAAATAAATGGCAGGCTATTCATCATCACCAGCCAAAATAATTAACAAGAATATAATTAACATAATTATACATTTAATGTACTTAAAGCAGAAGGTACTTAGAGAGTCAAGACCATTGCTTCTCTGTAAGATCAGCCTAAAATATTAAAAATCTGGGTTGATATAGCTTTTGGGTCAGTCCAAACTAACAGAATATTCTAAACCAAATAATCTCAATGATGGCTATTGCCCCTTCATACTGTATTCGATTGTTATGTAACTGTGAAACTATCCAAAGAGACAGCTCCTTTGTTAAAGAAACGTGTATAAAGTAAGCAGTGATCAATGAGCAAAGTTAACCAACCACTAATGTTTATGACGACAAAGGTAACTCTTCCACAAATACAGATTATTCTTAATAAACCAAGCACACTATCTCGAAATGGTGGCCACTACATCTAAAGGGGCAGTTAGATGAACAGTGCATACATATTACCTTTTCTGGAAAAACAAGCAAGTGGTGCCAACTTCAAATGGAAAAGGCAGGTATTCACTTATTACTCAAATGTGGGTATAATTTCTTAAAAGTTGAATTTTAACAGTTTCTTTTTTTGAGGATTTATCTTTCATTCTTACCATCACTCTGCTCTGTACTGATCTCTGACTGCAACACTAGATCTCCCATTGTAAGTAAAGTTATGGCAGCTTCAGTGCTTCCATCGTTGGTATCTTGTGAGAAAATATACCAACATTAAAACAGAAGAATGAATTTGGAAACTTAAGTTTGTTTACTTAGAAAAGCTTTTTAATCCAGGTGTTTATCCTCTAGCAACAAATTTCAATATCCTCTGTGCCACTATTCTCTTACTAGGGTAATGTTTTCTTCAGCTCAGTATATAAATGCCTCCCTCCCATTAAATAACTTAGTATCTTCAAAAAATGCATCTATGCAGATCAGAGGAAATAAATACTTATTTATTAAACATTTAACTCAACTCATTTTCTAAAGTAACATGCCAAGAAAACACGTTTCTCCTTAAAGATAACACATTCAAAAGCTGCATTGTTTTGTTCACCTCTCCAGCAAAATGATTCATTTACAAACTACCACCACTGCTAAATCTTCATGTTAGTGTTAACCAAGTAGTTTTTAACAGTTTCCTATTAACAGTTACCTGTTCCATCTTGGGTATGTTCACCTGTGGTCATTTCCTAAAAGAGGAAAAGTGATATCTTATGTATTTTCCCAAATATATGTTCTGTATCTCAAAAAGTCCTGTTGTACTGATCCTTCTGTGCTTTTTATTATAATGGAGTAGAAACTGGTTCCCCCCCCCTTTAATTATAATTATTCATAAAATTTCATAAACAAAAACAAATAATTTAAAAGCCAAGTTCTTCTTCCTCTTGCTCTTTACTGTGCCTCTGCCTTGCACCGTGTGTAAACTGTGCTCTGATCGCACTGTAACGTGCGTCCCATTCCCACTTCACTTCTTCACATTCGCAGTCCAGCTTTAGTCACAGCTGCCATTAGTTTTGACTCAATGGAAACCAAGGTCTGAAAAATACCACAATTTTTACACTACTATAAGGCTTAAAAGTTAAATGAATTTTAATAAATTAAGGACTGATGTCCTGCATGACAGCATTAGGAGCTCTGCTGACCCTCTCCCTAATAAAACTGGTGAGATTTATTTAAAAACAACCAGTAAGACCTCTGGAAATGAACCTAAGGGCATAGGATGAAGAAACATCTGATCAAGAAAATTGATAAAAATTTAGTAACAAAGGCAAGAGTCTGTGGTATTTGAACAAAGGCTGTTCTCTCCCTCCTTCCTCCCAGCTCAGCAGAATCCACCTCAAAATGCTGTAGCCAAGATAACAGGGCCCCTTCTCCCTGCAGGTCCCAGCTAGAGGGATTTCTTCCTACCAGGAGTAGGACTTCAGCTTCTAACACAAAAATCTGGTGTCAGATTCATAGTAGATAATAGGCCAATTTCTAACATGATTATGGACACAAAAATCCTCAATACTAGCAAACCAAATTCAGCAACATATAAAATTAGACGTCATGAACAAGTAGGATTTATCCCAGAGATGCAATTTTTTGTTTAATATACAAAATTCAATCAATATAAAAATACATTATATCATACAATAAAAAAATCACGTGACCACCTCAACAGAAGCAGAAAAGGCATATGATAAATTCCACCACCTTTTCATGATAAAATACACAAACGAGAAATAAAATGGAACCTCTTCAATTTGATAAAGGGCATTTATGAAAAAAACCATAGCTAACATCAAACTTAATGCTGAAAGACTAAATGCCTTCCCCTAAGACCAGGACAAGACAAGAATGTCCACTCTTGCCACTTGTATTCAGCATTGTATTAAGGTTCTAGCCAGGGCAATTAGGCAAGCAAAGGAAATAAAGAACATTTGGATTGGAAAGTATTGTAAATTGAATTGTGTCCCCCAGAAAGATATGTTAGAGTCTTAACCGCCAGTACTGTGAACATGACCATGTTTTGGAAACACAGTCTTTGTAGACATAATCAAGTTAATATAAGGTCATACAGGATTAGCGCTGGCGCTAATCCAATATGACTGGTGTCCTTATAAAAGGAGAAGAAACACAGACACACATACAGAAAGAAAACCGTGGCAATCAAGACAAAGGTTGGAATTGTGCTGCCACAAGCCAAGCAATGACAAGGACCACCAACAACTGCCAGAAGGTAAGGAAAATCCTACCTTATCCACTAAAAATTATTAGAACTAAAAACTAAAGTCAGCAAATTTGCAGGATACAAGACCAATATATAAAAATCAACTGTATTTCTATACACTTACAATAAACAATCCAAAAATGAAATTAAAACAACAGTTTCGTCCTAGTTGGGTGGCTCAGTTTTCTGGAGCATCGTCCCGTACACCAAATGGTTGTGGGTTCAATTCCCGGTCAGGGCACATACCTAGGTGTGGGTTCAATCCCCAGTTGGGGTACACATGGGAGGTAACCAACTAATGGCTCTCTTGCTCTCCCTCTCTGGTGAGGATAAAAAAACAGTTTCATTTACAATAGCATCATGAATAACAACATACTTGAAAATGAATGTAACAAAGGAAATACAAAGCTTATACACTAAAAACTACGTAACACTGTTGAAAAAAATCAAAGGTCTAAATAAATGGGAAAACATCCTATGTTCATGGATTGGAAGACTCAACGTTGCTAAGATGGCAAATATACACCCCCCCCCACCTCCAAAAACCTGATCTATAGATTCAGTGCAATCCCAATCAGAATCCCAGCTGACGTCTTTGTGGAAACTGACAAGTTAATTTTAAAATTCATATGGAATTGCAAGGGACCCACAATAGCCAAAACAATCCTTAAAAGAAAAAAAAAGTATAAAGTAGGATGACTTACACTTCTCAATTCCAAAACTTACTACAAAGTAACTGTAATCAACAAAGCATCACCTGCACAAAGACAGACATATAAATCGATGGAACAGAATTGAGTCCAGAAATAAATCCATACATCTACAGCCAACTGATTTTTGACAAACATGCAAGACCATTCAATGGGGAAAGAACAGAAGGTGTGACAGACAACTGGATAGTCATATGCCAAAGAATGAAGTAGGACTCTAACCTCTAAAACTTTTAGAAGAAAAATAGGAGTAAATCATCAGGACCTTGGCTTTGGCAAAGTATTCTTAGATACATGAGCAACAAGAGAAAAATATTAGATTTATTGGACTTGGTCAAAATTAAAAACTTCTGTGTTTTGAAGAGCCATCAAGAAAATGAAGACGACCCGCAGAATGGGAGAAAATATTTGCAAATCATGTATCTGATAAGGGACTTGTATCCAGAACACAGCAGTCCCCCCTGATCCAGTTTCACTTTCCATGGTTTCAGTTACCTGTGGCCAACCATGGTCCAAAAATATTAAATAAGAAATTCCAGAAACAAACACTTCATAGATTTTAAATTGCACACCATGCTGAGTGGCATGATGAAATCTCAAGCTGTCCCGCTCTGGCCTGCCCCAGAAGTGAATCATCCCTTTGTCCAGTATATCCATGCTATACATACGGTACAATAGATAATTCTGAGAGAGGCCACATTCACATAACTCTTATTACAGTATATTGTCGTAATTGTCCTAATTTATTATTGTTAATTTGCTACTGTGCCTAATTTATAAATCAAACTTTATCATAGGTATGTATGTATAGAAAAAAACAGTATATTAGGGTTCGGTACTATCCGTGGATTCAGGCATCCACTGGGGATAATGGAACATATACCTGTGGATAAGTGGGCATTACTGTACATAAAAATTATTACAACTCAGTAATAAAAAAACAAATAGACCAATAATTTAAAAAATGGGCAAAGGCTCTGAATAGACATTTCTCTGAATAAGACTTAAAATGGCCAATAAGTACATGACAAGATGCTCCATCTCATTAATCATTAGGGAATGCAAATCAAAATAAAAAATGAGGTACCATTTCACATCCACTAGATGGTTTGATCTAAAAAGTCAAATAACAAATGCAGACAAAGACATGAAGAAACTGAAACCCTCATACACTGCTGGGAATGTAAAATGGTGTAACAGCTTTGGAAAAGTTTGCTAGTTCCTCAAATGATTAAACACAGTCATTATACAACACAGCAATTATACTCCTAGGAATGTAAATATATGTTCCTACAGAAACTTGTACACAAATGTTAATAGCAGCATTATTTATAATAGCCAAAAGACGGAAACAACCTAAATGTCCATAAACAGATGAATTGTTAAACAAAATGTGGTATATCTATAGGTAACATTATCTGACCACAAAAAGGAATGAAGTACTGATTCATGCTACAATAACAAACCTTGAAAACATTATGCTACGTGAAAGAAGCCAGACACAAAAGACCATATTATATGAGTCCATTTATACGCAATGTCCAGAACAGACAAATCTATAGAGATAGAAAGTAGATTACTGGCTGGCCAGGCCTGGGGAAGGATGGAAGTGGGGATGGGAGGAACTGCTAATGGGCATGGGGTTCCTTTTAGAAGGGATGAAAATATTCCAAAATTAACTGCGATGATGTTTGCACATATCTGTATACCAAAAATCATTGAATTGTACACTTTAAATGGGTGAACTGTACAGTGTGTGAAACATATACTAATAAAGCCGTTTTTAAAAAGTTGTAATTTCAAGTCTTCATTTGCAAAAATAAGATAAATACTAACCAAATAAGGAAGAATGCCAAGCAAAATGCAATTAAATATATTCCTAATAATTTATATTTGGTATATATTTAATGCAACATAAGGCTATGAGGATAGTAAGACCTATCCTCAAGTCAAATATAATGCTCTTCAAGTCAAATATAAAACCTATAGATTATTTACTACTTTCTACTATTCACACTTACAGCTCCCTACATGACAAAAATTAGCTAAAAACTGCTTGTAAACCTAAAGTATTCAAAATAAACTTCCAGCCCTACCCAGTTTTCTCAGTGGTTAGAGCATCAGCCCTCAGACTGAAGGGTCCCGGGTTTGATTCTGGTCAAGGGCACGTACCTCGGTTGCCGGCTTGATCCCTGCCCCTGGTTGGAGGGCGGGAGGCAACCAATCAATGTGTCTCTCTCACACTGATGTTTCCCTCTCTCTCTTTCTTTCCCTTCCCCTCTCTCAAAAAGCAATAGAAAAAATATCCTCGGGTGAGGATTTAAATAATAAAATATAATAGAATAAAACTTCCCGTCTTTTTTTTAAAGAAGTTACAAAAGTAGTAGAAGTGAGCTAGCTGGGCTGTGTAGGCTCAGGAAACAAATTACAGAAGCAAAAGAAGGGCCCTTGGAACTTAGGAGAGAGAAAGGCAAAGGTAACACACCTAGGGGAAAGAAGAGGGGGACGGGGAAAGGTGTGGCTATGCTCCCGAGAGGGAGAGCACCAAATTTCCAGTCTTTTGAAAGTAAGCAAAGAATTAAAAAAACATATTAAAATGGATGCTTACAACTGATAATGCATTCAAATGTTCTTCTTGTTTAATTTCTTGAGTGGTCACATCTGTGTTTGAGAGCTGATGTTCATCAACAGTTATGAATCCAATATCTGGGACATTCACCGTTATTTCAAGCTGTCAAAATGAAAAGTCTCATTATTTCATTTTGGCAAACTATATACAAAAACGTTAAACTGAAAAATTAATCCAGGTCCATAAATGATTAAAAAACTGAAGTATAGTCATTTTTAAACCAATTTGACATCAACTTAGCAAAAGTAAAACATTTAAGGCTTTTGAGGGGCCTGTGATTCTTATAATCAGTAAGCAAATTTTCCAAGGCTAATCTTCGTAGTACCTAGCATTTAACTTTCCATTATCCCCACTCTCTCCTTACTTTCCCATAATTAATCTCATCAGTCTGTTAACATTTATGGAGTGCTTCCTAAAAATCAGAGGGCTACAGGTAAAAGGATAGAAAGCTGAATAAAAAAAGTTTGGTCCCTGCCCTCAAGGAACTCACAATCTAAGAAAAATAGATATGTAATCAACTAACTATATACTGACTGTCTTAAGTACTTTAATAGAAATGAGTTGAAAATTCTTAAATATATATATTACCCACACCTCCACCAAGGCAACTACCCTATCCCACAACCCAAAACCTATATCATTCTTGATCGCTTATATCAATAGCTATGTAAAATAATAGGTTCACTCACATTTACTCTTCATTGAGCAGTCTTTTTGGTCAAAGATTCCTATAATCTGGGAACTAAAAGGGCTAAGGTTTATCACTGAGACTACAAACAAGACAGTACGCTCCTATCCCCTCACTAACAGAGAGGAGTAGAAAGCCTGTGTGACTCCAGAGAGAATGAATATAGAGTCAGGTACAGCATGAAAACCTGCCTTCAAGATATTACTACAGTAACACCTGTGTGTTCCGTGTTAGTCTTCTCAGAAGCAAACATTAGGGAAAAATCTCTGCTAATATCCTACAAGCCTGGGATGATTAAAAAGTTCAAGTGATTTGAAAAGAAAATATTTCCTGAAAACTTGGGTGAAAATGGGAATATTCCAGATAATTGAAAGCTGGTTCTTTGAACACCATACAGTTTCAAAGCTTTACTTTTTAATGGCTTCACTGAGATATAATTTATATACCATAAAATTCATCCATTTTAAGTGTATCATTCAATGTTTCTTGGATTATGCACAAATATGTACAACCATCACCAGTCACTTTAGAACACTTTCATTGCTTCAAAAAAGAAACCCATACCTGTTAGTTATCACTCCTTTAACCCCTCATCCCCAAATCCCTAAACAACCAGTAATCTGCTTTCTATCTCTACAGAGTTTCTTATTTTGGACATTTCATATGAATAGAATCATATAATATCTGATTTTTTGGTAACTGGCTTCTTTTGCTTAGCACAATGTTTTTAAGGTTTCAAGATTCATGTTGTAGTATGTATCAATACTTTATATTCCTTTATGATTTAATAATATGCCATTGTATTTCAATGCTTTTTAAAGGAAACATTTTTTAACATATAAATGATTTCCCTGCCTTAGTAATCTTGCTATAAAGAATAATATTTAAGCTTTCTTTACTCAATTATTATGATTAATGCTATTTAAGAAGGCATTCAGTATTAATTCAGTGATAAATCCTGGAAGCTGATTTTCAGAAGTTAATTTTTTATATTAGTTTTCGCTAGCAATTTGCCTTTTACCCAAAGAAATTTGTAAAATATAAAACATATAGCTAACTGAATTCACATGCAATGTCAACCAGCTGTCCTTGCACAAAAGTAACTTCCCTTTTGCATTTTCTTAGTTTCAACTAAAACGTAAATCCACTATCTTTACTTTGAACTGTTAGTTACAAGAAACAACTTGAATTTGCATCATTTTTGTATAGCTTCAACCATTCTAACTCAATAACTTTACAACATCTAGGATGTTATTATTAACAGTAAAGAAAGGCTGGTTTGGACTACCATTCATAAATGTAAACTTACAGATTTAGTAATCCATTAATTCTGGGTTAACTTAACATTACTTGACTTGAATTATTTTGTTTCCTTGTTCTTTTATCATCATGAATACTATCTCGGTTGCCCGGCCGGGTGTGGCTCACCTAGGATCCAGGCGATCGGGGTTCGATTCCCGGTCAGGGCACATGCCCGGTTGCGGGCTTGATCAATGACTCTCTCATCATTGATGTTTCTATCTCTCTCTCCCCCTCTCCTTTCCTCTCTCTGAAATCAATAAAGATATATTTTTTTTAAAAAAAAGTAAAAAAAAAGTAAAAAAAAAATTTTTTTAAATACTATCTCAGCTAACTCCTGATTCTGTTTCAAATGACTCAGAAACTACCATGAGTACTTACTACAAAATTGATTCATACATGCTACTCTATAAGCCACATTAGTCATTGAAAATTGAAGCAAAACAGAAAACTTTTCAGTTACGAAGTTGGAATACTAGACCTAGAGGCAAAGGAGTAAGGAGCTTTTATAATAAGTAAGTTGAAGTAGTATGTTCCTCCATCTCACATCAATTAGGATGGCTACTATCCAAAAAAAAAAAGAAAAAAGAATAGAAAAGAAAATAACAAGTGTTGGTGAGGATGCAGAGAAATTAGAACCCTTGTACACTATTGATGGGAATGTACAATGATGCAGCTGCTATGGAAAACAGTATGGTGGTTGCTCAAAAAATTAAAAATAGGCCCTGACTAGTGTGATTCAGTTGGTTGCGCACCATCCCATGCACCAAAAGGTTGCTGGTTTGATTTCCAGTCAGGGCACACGCCCAGTTTGCAGGCTCAATCCTCAGTGGGGGTGTGCAGGAGACAGCCTATCCATGTTTCTCTCTCCCTCTTCTTCTCCCTCTCCCCCTTCCTCTCTTCCTCTCTCTCTAAAATAAATAAAAACATATATTTTTTAAAAAATCAGTGAAACTTGAATTTAAAAAAAAATTAAAAATAGATTTATAATCTACCATACATTCCAGCAATTCCACTTCTAGGTATATTCCCCCAAATAATTAAAAGCCGGAGTTAGAAGAGATACTTGTATACCCATGTTCATAGCAGCATTCTTTGTATTAGCCAAAAGGTGGCAGCAACCCAATTGTCCATTGACAGACAAACAAAATGTGGTATATATATATATATATACATAAGCAAATATTATTCGGCCTTTAAAAAGGAGGACATTGTGGCACATGATAAAACACAGATGAACCTTTAAAACATTATACTAAATGAAATAAACTGCTAACAAAAAGGACAGATACTGTATGATTCCACTTACATGAGCTACCTAGAATAAAGTCAGAGACAAAAGTAGAATGGTGGTTGGCACAGCCTAAAGGGGAGAGGGTAATGGGGAATTAGTTTAATGGGTACAGAGCTTTAGTTCTGCAAGATAAAAAAAGTTCTGCGGATGGGTGGTGATGATGGTATAGCACAATGAATATACTTAATGCTACTGAACTAGACACTTAAAAATGGTTAAGATGGTAAATTTTATATTGTGTGTATTTTACCACAATTAAGAATATATAGACCTATGTCCCTTCTATCTTCTCTACCAATCAGAACTCAGGCTGAGCCTATAAAAATTCCATTTGGTAGAGGTAATTTAGAGAATGAACTCTACAAATCCTAATAATCGCTAAGAGAAGAAAAAATGATCCACTGAAGGAAAAATACAAGTAAGATAAAGTTCCAAGCATTCAAAAAACAAACTACCTCTTCCATCGTTTCCTCAATCTGAGTAGAAACAGGTTCAGGAGATCTGAGACCAACAGGTACAAACACTGGAGCTTTGTTTATTTCTTCTGGAGCAAGATGATAGTTTTCTTCCTCATAGGCAGACTCAAAATCTTCCACATCATCTTCTTCCTCTTCCTGGGACGCCCGAAGAGTCACCAGCACGGCCCTCGAAGCTCTAGGTTCCTTCCTAGACGTCTTACTCCGAATTCGTTTTGATCCACGCCCTCTGTTGATATTTGGTTTGACCTTCCGATGCATTCTCCTTTCACTATGATGTATCTCACATCCAGAGGTAGAAGAGAAAGTTGTTCTTCGATTTAGAGCAATTTTAGAGTCATTTGATTCTTTTAACAGTTGTGAATGGCTGGAAATTTAATCAAAATAACAACATAGTCACTACACACACACAATGATAATTTTAATGAAAACCAAACTTTTAGAGTGAAATCCCAACTCAAGCTTTTAAAATGAAAACTCCCACCACTCATTCTGTCAAAAACTTATACTGTGAAAAGAAGAAACTTACTATTAGTTTCTCATTCAGAGTTATCTGAATATAAAAATATAAAAAATTAAAACCTTAGGTATCTACCCACAAATTTTTCATAGTAAGTTTTATTTCTGGGCCATTTTTCCCCTTGCTATTTAAGTGGAGATGAAATACAAGACTGGAAATTATCAGGAAAAAAAGGAATAAAGGTCAATGAGCCAATAAATACAAAATACGAGGTTAAAAAGTGATACTGGTTTATCCTATTAGGTAAACAGATTAGGATAAAAGAAAAAAAGAGGATGCAAAAAAATCCATCAGAACAATGTTGGTTTTAAGAACTCAAGTTCCCTTCCACTTTTCTTGAAAATTATGGAAAAGGGGTACCCTTCCTTCACTGTTTTTATGACCCCATCTAAATTAGTACTCTATTAAGGTACTGCATATTACTCTTTGGTGAGATTTCTGCTCATGTCTAATATACTTAATACCAAGAGATTTTAAATGTAAGAAAAAGAAAATCTTCCTAAAAAGATCAGAAAAAAGTAAATTTTAATAAATAAAAATCGAAAGGGGGAAAGAAATAGACTTGTAGATAAAAAACAATCTATACTTCTGTTAACAGGTCATCTTTTACTCTATCAATATATTAATGTAGGACATCCTTAAAGAGTAAGTTTTTATTTCCTCTTCTGAAAGTATATTATGGAAAATTTTACCTTGCTGGTTTACTGAGATATTGCTCTTCGACAACCGAAGAGACAGAATTATCCTCTACAGTTTTCTGTCCAGCACTTCCTGATGATCCAACTTCTGACTGAGCATCTTTCTTGGCTAAACCAGCTTCTTTGCCTACACAATCTTCTATTGCTGAAACCTCCAGAGGTGTCAGCAGCTCAGCTTTTTCCTTAAATGTAAGAAGAAACAGCTAATATTACCACAAAAACAATCTCTAAGGCAATCTGACTTGGTAGTTTGGCCTAAAGTTCCAAGCTTGCTTACACACACACACACCATGACTGGCTTCTAAGTTTTTGTAATACTAAAATGTCACTTCAATTTTCATGAAAATAGTAATACAAAAGGCAAAATTATATATTTTTTAATGTTCTTCTTCATGATCCTAACAAAACACAGCCCACTGATAAAAATTATATTTTTTCAAACTTACTTTTTGAAGGAGCTGGGTGTCAGAATCTCCTTGCTGCAGCAAATTATCTTCTGGCTTCCTTGCCTCACTCAGATCTGCTCTGTCTTTTTCTATACCTAGTTCCTCTTCCTTATCATGTCCTCTTCCCAAATTAGGCTTAGCCTTTTGGAACTGTCTTCTTAACAATTGTGCTGGACTAGAAACAGAAGTTTTATGTTCATCTCTGGAATGAAGCACAAATCATTTTGAAGAACAAAAATCAGAATTCTTTCTTAATGTAACAGCTGTTAAATCAAACAATTTTTTTAAATGTCTTTATTGATTTCAGAGAGTGGGAGAGCGAGAGAGATAGAAACATCAATGATGACAGAGTCATTGACTGGCTGCCTCCTGCATGCCCCCTGCTGGGGATGGAGCCCACAACCCAGGCATGTACCCTGACCGGGAATCAAACTGTGATCTCCTCGATCATAGGTTGATGCTCAACCACTGAGTTATGCCGTTTGGGCAAATCAAATAATTTTTGACACAAACAAATACTATATTCAAAGGATTATATGTAAATTGGCTATGCTGATATGAAAGGGAGAACATAAAGGCTTTTATAACATCCATTTTCTGTACAGCGTGGGGAATAGTTTTATAATAATATTAATCTTTTTTACTTTCATTCATTCTGGTTTGTGGTTTCATTCTACTTTAAGTAATTTTCAGAGTAATAACTAGAAATAAACAAACCAAAAAAATTCTAGTAGTTGAAGATGGATTCACAATGGCATTTTAAACAAATGCTTCAACTGGGCTCTGAAGCAGGACCAAATATACGATGTTCACAACAATTGTGGTCCTACTGGTCCAAGAGTAGGCTTGAAAGCTAGAGTCCTTTCTCACTCCAGATGCCTAGCAGTTCACGGAAAAGGGTTTACTGATAGCCAGTGTCATAAGCATCTCAATGTAACCCATTTTATCTGCCAAAACATAGAAAGACATGATTTTAACATTCAATAGAGAGTAGCCATAGCCTCCAAGGCAACCCAAACAGCTGTCTTAAGGTTTCCTGAGAATAACTGGCAACAAAATAAATTTGGAAAGCTTCAAATTAATATAAATGTGGATATTTATAAAGAATAATTGCATATGTGTCTATCATTAGTTCGCTAAAAGATCTGTATTAAAGACTAATCTTAAGTAATATTTCTAATAAATTACCCATAAAAAAAGTACTTAGTGACATTTTCAAATATTCCTACCTAAGCTCTTCCGACAGTGAAACGCCAAGGAAGTTCAAAGAAGTTCTAACAAGGTTATGATGCTAACTAATACATTTAGTGTAAGCTAATGCTTTTGGGAAAACACTTATATGTAACTTAAGTATAATCTATTTACAATCAAGTGTGATTCTACAAAGGTATTTAAAAATGAAATATATACATAAGCTACAATGTGCTACTGAAGTCAAAAGGCACAAGAAAATGCTTTACATAAGAATAAGCTAACTTAAAAACTACAGAATATACACTCTGAAGAAAGTATCACTCAAGATATAGCTAACAGCTAGAATAAACTTCATAAAGAAAGAAGGTTAAAAAGGGGGTGGGGGCTGATCAATGTGGCCGAGTTGGTTGAGCATCGTCCAGGGCACGGAAAGGTCACTGGTTTGATTCCTGGTCAAGGGAACACGCCCGGGTTGGGGAAATTTAAAAGTGAGCTCTCCCTTCTTAAAGAATGCAAAGGCTGAGCATAAAATGTCTTGGCATATGCAAAGTTTCTTTCAGGAAGCTCTGCCTATATAACTATATAGAATTTGCTAGTCTGAGTCAAAAATCCTGAAAACTTAAGTTTACATACTAAATTGCCAATGTTACTTTGAGCAAGCCATTTAAATCCTCCAGGTTTATTTAGTCAATTATAGATGAGATCATTAGGAAACGCTGACCTCAAAGGTTACTAGTCCTTAAAGGCTCCTGTGGAATAAAAATCAAAATACTTAACAAAGGTCATAGGCAATCTGCCCTTCTCTCTACTCAGCCTTCACCTTTCTTTCATTTACTACTCGTCCTCTCTTTCCCTGTTTCACTCTGGCCCCCTCTGCTGTGCCTCACACATGCCAGGGGTGTTCTTCCCGGGAGTGCTCTTGAACTGCGGTTCTCTCTTCGCCTACACATCTCCTTGACTTGCTCCTTCACTTCTTTTAGGTCTTCTCTCCAATGGTACCCTTTCAGTGAAGCATTCTCTGATTACTGATAATTAAAAACTAAATACCAGTCATGGTACTTCCTCCTCCCCCATCTGCTTTATTCTTCTCTACTTATTTATTATTCAATTTATTTGTTTATAATCTGTTCCCCTAATTAGAATATAACCACCACAAGGACAGGATTTTTTGTTTGTTCCCATATTGTAATATATTGTCAGCACCTAGAACAATGTCTGGCACATAAAACACTAAAATATTGGTTAAATGAATGTAATAAGGTTCTTTTCAGTGGCAAAATTATGTAATTCTGTAAGACCAAAACGGGATTAAATTATACATGGACAATAGATCCATTAACAATAATTAGGAAAAGCCAGAGATGGAAATAGGTCCATCGTTACTGTTTGGAAATTAACACCTCAGAAAGTATTCACTGGAATCATTTTTAGAGATGAATTACCCAATAGGATCAATCACCAACTAATCCAATATACCACTTGTAATACAAAGGTTATCTATAATGCATATTAGTGGAAATATTTCTAAGCACCACTTTATTTAAACATCCAATTTAAAGAAATGAAGAAATGACTTAGTAAGGAAACTTGATATTAACTGAAGAAAAAACTGGCCCTTAGTTTTAAAATAGTAATATGAAAAGGCTTTTCAATAATATGAAAAGGCTTTGCCCACACCCAGGGGAATAAATGAAATGAGGAAAATTCATACTAAAACAATAAAAGCTTCATATAAGAAACCTGCCGAAAGGAAAGCAAATTGTTTATAGTCATCCAAAATCAATAGCACTACTCATGCAGTTAGATGACATAACATGCCCAAATTCTATTTCTATAGCTTTAGAGAGGGTGAAAAAGGGATACAGTAACATTTCTTCTGCACTGTCCAAAAATTCAAGATAAGTCTATATAATCCTACAAAGGAAGCTGGAATGTTCAAAGTAAACTTATATGTGCTGAAGACATCCTGAGGGAAAATTAATAAATATGTCATTGAAACATATCCTAGTTACAAAGATAGTGCAGTAAATAAGATGGGCCATGGACTATATCCAGAATAGGACAGGTGTTTTGTTTTCCTTATGTAATAAAAAAGAACGTAACACATCCTGCTTTAATATCAGTACCAATAAAACAGATTGCAACTAATAATTTATAAAAGGAAATGCTGATATATCTTCACCCTTCTAGCATATCCCATTTAATAGATATCATTCTTACCACTTGGTTTGGGACACAGCCCAAATATAGCATGTAGTTAAGTACTTTATAGCACTTCCTGTTTATGAATTTTAGCCAGGAGATTATAAATTTCTAAAGATACAAAGAACTCAAGAACCTATCATAAAAGTTTAGTTTTACCCAGCCGGGCATGGCTCAGTGGTTGAGCATCGACCTAGGATCCAGGAGATCGGGGTACGATTCCCGGTCAGGGCACATGCCCGGGTTGCGGGCTACAGCTGATCAATGACTCTCTCATCATTGATGTTTCTATCTCTCTCCCTCTCCCTTCCTCTCTCTAAAATCAATAAAGATATATTTAAAATAAATAAATAAATAAAATAAAAATAAGAGTTTAGCTTTAAAATAAGAAATGAGCAAGCTTGTGAAACTTTTCAGAGAATTTATAAATTAAGAGAAAATTAGTCATGCATTTCTTACAGTATTGGAAGAAGCAGATTTAAAGTATTCTAGATCATAATTATTACTTTATCCTTTCATAAAACTTTCAATAAGTGAAGTTATGTAAAATCAATTATGTAAAAACCCAACCTTTATTTCTGGAAAGTTTGATACTTTTCTGATTTAAAAGCACACTCACCTCATCTTTTTATCTACAACATTAATTCTGTTAACATGAAGGTTCTCTACAAGAGCCACATGACTCTGATTTTCATCCATTCTTCCTTCGGAAACTTTGGAGGATACAACTTCAATGTGAGTTCCAATTTGAGAGTTTGGCTGAAATGACAAAACCATACTTAAGTGTTCTTTTAGACAACAGAATATACCTCCTAAAATATTTCGATCATTAAGAAAGGTATTTAGTTTTTTAAAATGAAGGCTCAAACTGGGTATGTTCATGTTCTGTTGCCCAAAACAGAAATGCCTAATTCAGAAAGTTTCAAACATTATCACAGTAATATGTTTAGATGATGCTTTTAAAACTACCATAACCATCTGTTGTGAAACTCAAAACAAAAAAAGTTTAATGATTTTTAAAAGAAAAAGAGTTGGGAGGCTCAAATAAGAACTACAATCACTTTATTTTTATTTTATTTAAAAAAAAATAATATCTTTATTGATTTCAGAGAGAAGAAAGGAGAGGGAGAGAGAGAGATAGAAACATCAATGATGAGAGACTCATTGATCGGTTGCCTCCTGCACGCCCCCAACCAGGGACCGAGGCCACAACCTGGGCATGTGCCCTGACCGGGAATTGAACCCCGATCGCCTGGATCCTAGGTCAACGCTGATCCACTAAGCCACGTCCGGCTGGGCTACAATCACTTTAAATTTAGATTTTTCCCTTAATAGACAGAGAAAGGGACAGAGAAACAAGAACTGACATGGAAACACCAAAGTGTCCTGCAGTAGAGGACTGGATACAGAAGCTGGGACACACGTACACAATGGATACTACTCGGCCATAAGAAAGAATGAATTACTGCCACTTGTAACAACATGGGTAGACCTAAAGAATATTATCCTAAGTGAATTAAGTCAGAAAAAGCTAAGAACCATATCATTTCACTCATATGTGGGATATAAAACTGAAACTCGTGGACACAAATAGCAGTGTGGTGGTTACCAGAGGGAAGGGGAGTGTGGGTGGAGGTAAAAGGGATCTTAAGAAGATATGACTGGGTGGTGGGCACACACAGCAATATACAGATCTTGTAACACAGAAACCCACATCTGAAACCTGTATGTTCATATTAACGATTATCACCCCAATAAATTTAATAAAGTGGAAAAAAGAAAAGAAAAACAAGAACTGTTGAACCGGGCATTACACTACTTAGATTTGTTTCTAATATCAAAAGATCCATCAGTAAGAGAAGCTTAAACTGTCATCCAAAAGAGCAGAATGCTATGCAGCAGTTAAAAATAATATATCCCTGTATTCTTGACATAGAAAGTCAGTTAACACATTAAATTAAAAACGGGGAGCCCAGCCGGCATGGCTCAGTGGTTGAGCATCAACCTAGGATCCAGGAGATCAAGGTTCAATTCCCGGTCAGGGCACATGCCTGGGTTAAGGGCTTGATCCCTAGCAGGGGCCATGCAGGAGGCAGCCGGCAATGACTCTCATCATTGATGTCTCTCTGTCCCTCTGTCTCTCTCTCTCTTTCCCCCGCTTCCTCTCTCTGAATCAATAAAAACATATTTTTTTTAAAAAATTCAGAATGGTAAATCTATAACAAAACTAGATACATTATGTATTGATTGAATACAGTTAAGTATAAGATTACGTAAGACAAGTCTGAGCTATCATTTGATATTTTAGTATGCATTAAAAGGCTCAACTTAATTACATAACAATAACTCACCAGAGTCAGGAATTTCCTTTTAGTTTCATCTTTTTGTAGTATTGTTCTTTCTTCCTTAACTATGCCTTTGGCTTCTCCTTTTTCTACCATTTGCCTCTGTCCAGCCTTTTTTATGTTTGGTCTAGGTCTCTGAAGTCGGCCCCTTACTGGTTGAGCAGTTTGGGTAACACTTTCCTTCATTTCTTGTTGAAAAGTGTTTATATTATGAGTCCTAGAAAGAGGGACAGGGGAAAATAGAGGGATTTGACTGTAAAAAGATTAAAATTCACTGTAAAGATATAAAATTTGAGTATCTTCTAAAAAAAAATCCTCTCTATAAAAATATTTTATAGCATTAAAGGAAAACTGTATTACTTTCTGATTCTAACTATATCTTATTTTATAAAAGAACATATTATTCAAATTCTTAAAAGGTAATGAATTTATATGAGGTACCTACAACATTCATATTCATAGAAAGTAAGTATAATTGTGGTTGCCAAGAACTGGAGGAAGGGGAGAATGGAGGGTTATTGTTTAATGAGTATGTACTTTTAGTTTGGGAAAATACAGTTCTGGAGATGGTGGCAATGATTTCACAATGTGAATGTACTTAATGCCACTGGACTGTACACTTAAAAATGGCTAAAAGGTAAATATTATGTTATATGTATTTTACAATTTTTTAAAAGACAAATAATACGTACCTTATATACATATATTTTTAATGCACTGTTTTGTGCAAGATCTGAAGCAGTAAACAGTGAATATAAGCAGACAAGCATTAAAAGGTGTTGAACTCAATCTGATTTTCAATTTTATGGGCAGTCTGCCATAGGAATAAAAATAAACCAAGTACAATATTCTTTATATTCACTTTTAAAATAGATTAACACATCCTAATAAAAATAAAGAAGTATTTGAAAGAACTCTGTCTTATTTTAGATTTTCAAAGGACTATCACTACTTACCCCATAGAAACAAGTAATTCCTTTTCCTGGGCTTGTGTAGACTGAGAGGCCTCATTAGGTTCACAAGAACTTGAAGGTAAAAGGTTCTCTTCTGTCAGTACACATGGTAATATCACAGCCTCCTTCTGACTGTGACCCGATTTGTCTTTTTCTCTTGATGTCATCAGGGAAGATGCATCCTAGAAGGAGATTTAAAAAAAAATTTCATTGAGGGTTGGTAAAAGTATAGGGAAATACAAACTTTCATATACCATTAAAATTATAAATTAGTATAGTATATATATGTAGAGAATAGGGCAGATCTATTAAAGAGTTTATTTCCCAGCTATTCTACTTCTAGAAATGTATCTTATAAAAATACTCAAATAAATATCTAGAAAATTATATACAAGGATATTTATTATAGCAATATTATTAAACTCCCCCCTGCCAAAAAAAAAAAAAATGAGCATTACACTAAAGAAAAAACAAATAAAAAATTGAAAACAAGACAAATCTATCACTAGGGGACTGAACAAATAAATTACAATTTCTTTATAATACAACAGTATAGAGCCATTTAAAATATAAAATTCTAAATACTGCCCTGGCTGGTGTGACTCAGTTGGTTGAGCATTGTCCCATGCTCCGAAAGATCACCAGTTCGATTCTTGGTCAGGGCACATGCCCAGATTCTGGGTTCAATCCCTGGTCAGTGTATGAGGGAGCGGCAGCTAACTGATGTTTCTCTCTCTCCCCCCCGTTCCTCTCTCTCTAAAAATCAATAAAAACATATAAAAAAAATTCTAAACACTGATTTCCAAAAGATGTTCACAGCCCTGGCCGGGTGGCTCACTTGGTTGGAGCGTCATCCCATACACCAAAAGGTTTCGGGTTTGGTTGCTAGTCAGGGCACATACCTAGGTTGCACGTTTAATCCCCAGTCACGTGTGTATGGGAGGCAACCAATCAATGTTTCTCTCTCACACTGATGTTTCTCTCTCTCTCCCACCCTTCCTCTAAAAAAAAAATCAATGAAGCCCAGCAGGGCGTGGCGCAGCAGTTGAGCATCAACCTAGGATCTAGAAGATCCAAGTTTGATTCCTGGTCAGGGCACATACCCTCACATTTTATTATTTATATAATAAGTATCTATAGAAAAAAGTCCAGGTGGATATATTCAAAATTACTACATGATTAACTTGGGAGGGAGAGATGGGACATTACAGCGGACTTGCACTTTTTATATTCTACATATTTTCCAATTTGAAATTTTTATAATCAGATAAAATATCAATAAAAAAGTGATTTATCTTTTTTAAATATAAGATTAGAATAAAAAAGTACAAATGTTCAAGCACAATAAGAATTAAGCTACTTAAGATGCAAAATAAGAATTTTATTTTTTTAAGAATTTTAATTCAAAAAAGTACTTTATATGTTTAGAATACTCAATTTATGAATGTTAACATTTCATTTCAAAGTTTCTGATGCTACATCACACAATCTTATTTCGCTTTGAACCAAGTAAATAAAACATCTCCTTTAACTCTTATCAAGCTCTTAACTTTTTTCTTTCAATCCTCACCTGGGGTATGTTTTTTTAATTGATTTTACAGAGAGGGGAAAGGAGGGATGAAGGAAGGGAAAGATGGAGGGAGAGTGGGAGTAAGGAAAAGAGTGAGGAAGAGAGAGAGTGAAACATCTGTGTGAAGGAGAAACATCGATCACACGAGCTGGGACTGGGGATCCAACCTACAACCTGGGTATGTGCTCCGATCTGGAGTCAAATCCGCAACCCTTTGGTGCACAGGACAATGCTCCAACCAACTGAGCAAAACCAGCCAGGCCAAGCTCTTAACTTTGTATTTCACCTTCACAACAGAGTAAAAGAACTGTCATTCCCGTTTTTCCTTTGAAGAAACTGGTTGCATCACTTGGCTATGATCACACAGCAAAGTTTAGAACCTGAACTAGAGCCCAGGCTTCTTAAATTCTTTCCCATGAAATACTTGCCCATCATGAGAGATTTGAGATTCTTACACAAACCATGTGGAACAATGAGGCACATTAAATACAGCTACAACAAAATCACATACTGTAAAAATTATATGAGGAAATATTTGTGAAATTTCAATTCCAGGTGTTTTATTAACTAAAACAAAAAGTCTGCATCTTAAATATCACTCACATGTTCAGAAGAGGGAGTGTGCATTTGTTCACCATCCTGTTGTATCACACTAGTCTCAATTTTATCCATTTCCAATTTCTTGCCAGGTATATGTTTTTCTGCTTCCATAGTCTCTCTTTTTAAAGCTGCTCTTGATAAGTTTGGTTTTGGTCTTTTTAATCGACTTCTCATAAAAGGTGCTGGCTTTAATGGCTTCTGTTCTTGAGGAAAAGATTTGCTTTTGGAACAAGGATTATGAAGCTTTAGAATAAACTGAAGGGGCAGTGGGAAAGGAGTCTTAGGACAACCTTAGAGACTGGCAGTAAATATTTAATTCTAATTCTTAACAGGAAGACAAATCAAACTATTTGGTAGATCTTGAAAAAATGAGTGGCACAATCCAGACAGATGTAAGTCTAGGAATTATATTTTCTTTGCAACAAAGAACATACAGGTTTGTCACACCCATACTGACTTAGGAGTATGTGTTTACACGCAATTCTGTATGTTAGTATTTCTTACAATCAACCGTCAGAATATCCTCAATCCTCTCTCCCAGTCTTTCCCAAACTAGCTTAAAATCAGTAACACTATGCTATAGATTATGTCTTGAAATTCACTTAATTTAACATAATCTGCAAATATAACTTTATATGCTTTTTCTTTAAAAGCACAGAGATCTAAATACTTGTACCTTAAATTAGTATCTGAAAACTGCTCTGGAACATCTGCAGATCGTGGCCCCTGGTCTTCTGTTTTACCAAGTTCAGAAGTCTGCAAAGAAGTCTTCCAATGACTCAATTGACTTGATACTTCCTTTTCAGAATTTTTTTCTTCTATAGATGTATGCACCACAGATAGGACATCACTGCTAACGTTCTGGAAGAATAGTCACAGTAAATCAGTACATATACAAGATTCCTTAAGCATTTCAAACAAAAGCCTACTATATTCTAAACATTTTTCTTTAAAAACCCAGAAGTTTGTTTTTTTTAATTTTTTGGTTTTTTTTAAATGTGTTGCTCTCCTTTTTAACATTTTATTTTATTTATTTATTTTAAATATATCTTTATTGATTTCAGAGAGCGGAAAGGAGAGGGAGAGAGAGAGACAGAAACATCAATGATGAGAGAGTCATTGACCGAGCCCGCAACCAGGGCATGTGCCCTGACAGGGAATCAAACCCCAATCGCCTGGATCCCAGGTCAATGCTCAACCGCTGAGCCACGTCTGTCCGGGCTGTTTTTTTTTAATTTTTAAATAAAATTTACAAATGTTAAAACATAAAATTCAGTTAACTCTTCCTTTTATACTGCATATTATGATTTTTCCAAGCCAGTCAAAAAAAAAAAAAAAGTCCTCGAAAATGTTAGAATAGGATGAACTTCAAATAACTGAAAACTTCTAATGGAAAGAACTTTTAAAAGTAGAATAAAGTGGGGTGGGGAAGGAAAAATAGAGAAAAACTGATACATTTAGAGTCAAAAGAAATAATTCCAATGTATGTTCACACTAGTTAACACAAATTTAATCCAATTTCATTTATTCCTTTTATCTAAAAGAGTAACTTCAAACTCACATTAAGAATAGTAACTTCACGAGGCCGGCGTGGCTCAGCAGTTGAGCATCAACCCATTATGATCCAGGAGGTCATGGTTTGATTCCTGGTCAGGGCACATGCCCGGGTTGCAGGTTTGATCCCCAGTAGGGAACGTGCAGGTCAATGACTCTCTCATCATTGATGTTTCTATCTCTCTCTTTCTCCCTCCCTCTCCCTTCCTCTCGCTGAAATCAATGAAGATACGTTTAAAAAAAAAAAAGTGACTTTTCCACAATTAAAAAGAATTTTTAATTTTTTTAAAAACAGAATATATAGTTCTTCAAGGTCCCAAAACATAGAATTTAGGACTAAGAAAGTCTTTAGGCTTTCGAGATTTATTTAAATCTGTAATATTTTACTGTGTTTCTAAAATAACTCCATTTTGAACATAGCCTCAATAATATTATCATACAGAGAAAAATTAACAAATTCTTTAATATCATCAAATATCCATTAGTGTTCACTTTCCTGATTGTCTTACAATTTTTGATAGTTTTGCTTTAGAGATTTTAAACATTGTTGGACTCAATAATCATGGAATTATTTTGATAATGTTTCTCTGAAAGAGCATTTTAAAAAAATGTTTAAAGGCAGAAACATACATACTTTGATATTTAGTGAAGGCACAGCACTGCAGTCAGCACTTCTGCTCTGCAATAAATCTGTCTCTGTTTGTTTTGAGGTCCCAGTCTCCTCTGGTTCATTTTCCCTTAAAGAAATATCTATTTTTCCAGTTTTTTTCAAATCTGCCACCATTTCTTCCGCAGCACCGATCTCTTCTGATCCACTTTTCCCCAAGGATATTTTTCTTCCAGTTTCTTTCAAATCTGCCTCTGTTACATTAATAGCAGCCATCTTTCCTGATGTCTTTTCCATCAGGGAAATGTCTCTTTTTCTAGTTTCTTTCAAATTCTCCCTTTCCCCTGTGGCACTGATCCTCTCTAGTACCCTTTCTCTTGAGAAAGTTTCTTTTTCAGTTTCTTTCAAATTTGTCTCCACTTCACCTATAGTTTGGACCTCTGCGGCCTTTTCTTGTGTGGATATTTCTCTTCTCCTGGTTTCTTCCGACTCTGTCTCTCTTTCCTCCGTGGCATTAGTCACCTCTGGTACCATCTCCCTTGGAGAAATCTCCCTCCCAGTTTCTTTCAAGCCTGTCTCCACTTCCCCTACAGTGTTGACCTGCTCTGGGGCATTGTCTTGTGTGGAGAGTTCTCGTCTTCTGGTTCCTTCCGACTCTGTCTCCATTTCCTCAGTGGCACCAGTCACCTCTGGCATCTCTTCCCTTGGGGAAATCTCTCTTCCAGGTTCTTTCAAGCCTGTCTCCACTTCACCTACAGTTTTGACCTCTGGGGCCTTTTCTTGTGTGAAAACTTCTCTTCTCCTGGTTCCTTCCAACTCTGTCTCTATTTCCTCAGTGGCATTAGTCACCTCTGGTATTTTCTCACTTGGAGAAATATCCCTCCCAGTTTCTTTCAAACCTGTCTCCATTTCTCCTACAGTGTTGACCTCCTCTAGGGCATTTTCCTTTAAGAATATTTCACTTCTTTCAGTTTCTTCCAAATCTGTCTCTCTTTCCTCAGTGGCACCAGTCACCTCTGGAATCTTCTCCCTTGGAGAAATCTCTCTTCCAGTTTCTTTCAAATCTGTCTCCATGTCCACAGGGATGTCAATCATTTCTGGTACCTTGTCCCTGGGAGAGATGTCTCTACTTCCAGTTTCTTCTAACTCTGATTCCATTTCCTTAGTAGTGTTAGCCTCCACTGGTACCTTCTCCCTTGGTGAGGTTTCTAGCCTTGCTGCTGTCTTTCTCCCAGGAACAACAATCTCCTCTGGTACCTCTTCCTTTGAGAAAATGTCTCTTCTTCCAGTTCTTCTTATATTTGGTTTTGGCTTCTGAAATCGATTCTTTAGAACTGGAACTTGTTTGAGTATATTTACTTCAATATCCTCTTGAATACTATAAAAAGAATAGACAAATTTTAAACCAGACTATCAGTTGAAGAGAGGATGGTTGAGAACTCACCACTAAAACACCAGGAACTCTCAAATTTGATTAAAAAAAAAAAAAAATTAAGAAAGCCTTAGGAATCTCTGGGTAAAATTTTAAAATTAAAAGCAAGCCCTGGCCAGGGCACATAAATTAACCAATGAATGCGTAAGTGGAACAACAAATCTACGTCTCTCTCTCTCTCTCTCTCTCTCTCAAAGCAATAAATTTAAAAAAATAAAAATAATAAAAGAATTTATTTTTTAAAATAATAAATTTAAATTAAAAGAGAATAATTTCATCTTTTGAAATTATGGCAAAGTCTTAAAATAATTAAATATATCTATTTATACAGAGACTTATATAAAGAAAACCTCATCAGCAAGGTCAATAAGAGCAGCAGCTAATTGGCCCTGAGCAGTTTCTTCCTGTGATCCACACCATTCTTCGAAAACACTGCCTGAGAAAAACTCTCCAGGCTCTACACCGGAGCTAGCCCAATTTGTGTCTGCTATTCCTGCATCGTTGCCCCTACTATCCTTTACACAGGCATGGGCCTTGCCACAGAGTTAAGGAACAACTCATTTACATGGCCAGACCTGACTGGCATCTCAAACAGCTAGATGGAGGCATGACTTGAACAAGATACGGCATTATGACTAAGAACCAGGTTGACACCTTCTCACTTTTAAAAACAATTAAAAATGGTATTTCCTGTACAGACATTTCCTAAGAGCTGGGGTTTCATAATACAAATTGGGAATAAAAGGAAGGATTAAATAAACAACATTTTGCAGTTACTTGAATGCTACTGGGCATACAACAATTACTATCTAGAACAAGTACCTTGTTCTCCAGAAAAGCAGCAGCACTTTGGTTTGTGTTTTATTATAGCACTAGATGGTAAAAACCAGTAAAAATATATGAATGAAAACAAGAGTTCTTAGTAACTGGTTAAGAAAGGTCATCAATCTCTTGACAAAAGCTAGAACAAATGAAACACTAGATTTATTCACCAATGTTAGTCTGAACTAGTGTATATAACAGTATTTTAAAAAGGTTTAAAGCTATGTTAGTGCTTGTTTGAACTTGTCTAGGTCCTAACCTATCTTTCTTTATTGAAACATCTGTTTAATGCAATTTTTGATAATTCAAGGCAGGTTCTTAGGACAAGACTGCTTTTCAAATTGTACTTGTTGCCCGGCCAGGCGTGCCTCAGCAGCTGAGCGTTGACTTGGGATCCAGGAGATCAGGGTTTGATTCCTGATCACGGCACATGCCCGGGTTGCGGGCTTGATCAATGACTCTCTCATCATTGATGTTTCTGTCTCTCTCTCTCCCTCTCCTTTCCTCTCTCTGAAATCAATAAAGATTTTTCTTTTTTAATTGTACTTGTTTATATAACTGAGGTGTTTTTTTAACTATCATTAATTTTAGTAATAGGTAATGTTCAGTGTAAAATTAATATCAACTGATAAAAGAAATTTAATTTAGTTAGTCCTCGGTGGATTTTATTCTATTTTCTGACTTATGATACTTTTTACCTCCAACCAGAAATGTTTAGCTTTTAGCGAGGTTCATGCACTAGCAATCCTGGTTTGGTTATCATGGGAAAAGATTAAATGTCATTATAAAGTCACATTTTAAACACTAGCATAGTCTTAAAACATATAACTGCTTTAAGAAAAAGATTTATTAATAATTTCATTATTTCAATATCAATTCAGATTTTAAGATACAAATACACAATGTTATGATTATATTCTATGTGCTTAAATTGTCTGAGTAATCAAGGGGCTTTGATAAGCTTTATTTTATGGATAAATAATCAGTACCAAATTACTTGGAGTTCATGAACAATCAACGAATAGTTCCTAAGCACCTACTACATGGCAAGAAGGCCGGTGCTAGGAAATGGGAATGCAGCGGTGAACAGCACAGACCTCTTACAGAGCTCACATCAGCTGCGTAATTAACTGAAGGGCAGTACCTGAGATTAGAAATCAGATACGCAATTGCACTCGATTATTTCTCAATTTAAAACATATAATGGGTTCACAACTCTCTCCAAGATCACAGAATTTAAGAAAAAAGACAAAGAAAAAAAAGGATCACAACTAGAGAACGTAGAAGAATGCACACAAAACTATAAATGTGCTGCATGGTCCACATGTGTTTTTCTATAACATAGAGTTTAAGTATCAACAAAATATTTATAAACCTCCATAAGATAATCATATGAAGTACAAAGGATGCAAAATTAGCCTAGAGAAATAAGTTTCAAAGACATATTTGCTAATATATAATCAAGAAGACTTTATAATGCACTCTTCATCTCAAAGTCTCTGTCTCTATTTTCTCTTTCTTACACAGTACCTTGAACAGTTCAAAGTGTTTGGGAAGGGAGAACTGCCTATTAGATATAAAGAGGCATATGGTTTGATAAAACACAGAATCTTAGAATTGTTTTTAAGGATGTTGGAGATTCAAAGACCAGAAAGACCACATGAAAAAATAAAAAGGACACAGCCTTGAAAAAAATAGTTGTTGAGATTAGGCTGGATGTTAATTATAAACAATATCTACAAGGGTTCTAAAACCCAAAGACCGCTAAAAGAAAAATTTAATTTTCTACCAAGCCACAGTTGTTGTTTTTTAATATATCTTTATTGATTTCAGAGAGAGGAAAGGAGAGGGAGAGAGAGAGATAGAAACATCAATGATGCGAGAGTCATTGATTGAGCCTGCAACCCAGGCATGTGCGCTGACCGGGAATTGAACCCCAATCAGCTGGATCCTAGGTCGACGCTCAACCGCTGAGCCAAGCCCGGCCGGGCCACATGAACTATTAAATAGAGCCTGAAAATAAATAAATAAATGAAGTCTGGCTTCGCCCTTGAAGGTGTGGCTCAGTTGGTTGGGGCATCGTCCCATACACTGCAAGGCTGTGGACTCGATCCCCAGTTGGGCTGTGTGTGGGAGGCAACTGATTGATGTTTCTCTCTCACATCAATGGTTCTCTCCCCCCATTCCTCTCTGTCTAAAAATCAATAAAAGCATGTCCTCTAGTGAGGACTTAAAGAAGGAAAAAAAAAACAAAACAGTCTGGTTTAAGCAGAAAAAAATATAATCAAAAAATCCAAACTGTCAGAAATCTGTAACTGTTACCTGTATCAAAGATACGTAAACAAGTCATGTTGTTGTACAGGATTCTACCCAGAGGTTCTGTGGCAGAGCGTACAGTAGTTTGGGGGTGGCAGAAGGCGGTATAGGGAGGGAAATAAGCAAAAGAGTAGAGGAAGAAGCGAAGAATAAAGGAAGTTTTCTGTCTTCTAATGAAGATCAGGAAACCGAGCTTCCATTCTCAGGTTAGGTAGTAAATAGGTTAACATAGCTGTAAGAGTATAGAATAGGCCAGACTTTAAATGTAAAGATTGGAAAAATATTAATAATTGTTGAAATTAGAGAGTAAGTACATGGAAGTTCGTCATTCTGTTCTCACTGCTTTTTGCACATTAAATATTTCCAAAAGGAAAAAAATTAAAGTATATTAATAATTTCATCACTCTGGTTTGGTGCCCTCCAGAGGCAAAATAACATATACAAAGAGCTTTGGCTGTGATAAGTATGGGTTTTTACATAAAATTTATGTTAACCTTAAGTAAAGGCAATATGTGATCAATCTAATCCCAAAGAACCAAATACTAACAAAATAAGAAACGTTTCTACTTTTGGACACAGACATCTGATTTAAAATGCATGTTAAATAGTAATCCTACCCATGTTAACTCAAGGTCTGATTTATGATGAGTAGCTCTTTTCAAATCACTCATAACTGAAAAATAAAGCTATGACATAAACTACCTTGAAAAATGAAGTTTATATTTCTAAATATTACATAACTTGATATACAGAAAATAAATCTGTCTGATTTGCTTGTTTTTAAAAATTAACAATTTCTGCCCGGCCGGGCTTGGCTCAGCAGTTGAGGAGCGTCGACCTAGGATCCAGGCAATCGAGGTTCGATTCCCGGTCAGGGCACATGCCCGGGTTGCGGGCTAGCCGATCAGTGACTCTCATCATTGATGTTTCTATCTCTGTCTCTCCCTCTCCTTTCCTCTCTCTGAAATCAATAAAGATATATATATATATTTTTTTAAAATTAACAATTGCTAGCCTAGCCAGGCGTTGCTCAGCGGTTGAGCGTCGACCTAGGATCTAGGAGATCAGAATTCGATTCTCGGTCAGGGCACATGCCCGGGTTGCGGGCTCAATCCCCAGTCAGGGGCGTACAGGAGGCAGCTGATCAATGACTCTCTCATCATTGATGTTTCTATCTTTCTCCCTCTCCTTTCCTCTCTCTGAAATCAATAAAGATATTTTGTTTTTTAAATTAACAATTTCTAAAACTTTATACAAAATTTTAAAATTATATAATCAATAAGATGATGCTTACCTTAGACATTCATTAAGAGACTTGGGCTCATCTGGTTGCATATTTTGAAAAGAAGTACCTTTTTCTTCAGATTGTGATGTGATGTCTTCACACTCAAAATTTTTACATGACTGATTTTCTATTTGTTCAGGAGTCTTGATAACAAACACAGACATTTTTTTTAAAGTTTTGGGTTTCAAAATGAAATAACCATTTATAAAAGATTTCATTGAAAATTGTGTCCAATTTGAGAACAAGGAAAATAGTAAATATTTCAAAATTATAAAATGATATTCAAGGGATGCTTTTTGGTTTTTTCTTTAGATATTTCAGAAAATTTCATAAGCCACATCTTTTACCTCATCTCAAACACCCATTTTCCTCCCAATCAGAAAGCAAATAACTGCTTCAGTCTCATCTGTAAGAATTATATCCTGGGGTCTATCTTTCTGAATCTGTTTTCTTATAATCACATTATAGATCTTGGGAATTATAACAAGAAATTCAAATCTCAAACTATGCCAACTGTTACCCTTATCACAAAGACCAGTTATTATGTAAATAATCTAAAATCCATAACCTTTGTTCTTAGAATTATATTTTAGTAGGGAGTTTTTAAGATTTTATTCTGTTTAAGCCAGCGTTAAAATTCACATATTTAGCCTGGCCGGGCATGGCTCAGCAGTTGAGCATCAACCTAGGATCCAGGAGATGGAGATTAGATTCCTGGTCACAGCACATGCCCGGGATGTGGGTTCAATCCCCAGTAGGGGGCCTGTAGGAGGCAGCCAATCAATGACTCTCATCATTGATGTTTCTCTCCTTCTCTCTCCCTTCCCTTACTCTCTGAAATCAATAAAGACATAAAAAAATTTTTCTTTAAATTCACGTATCTAGCTATATTTTCAAAAAGGAAGTTTAATTCAAAATCTGCAGAGTAATGAGGAAAAGCAAGTCCAAATATGAAGTAAGGTGAAAGCCAATGATCCATCACATAAATGCTCAAAATCCAGAGGGCTGAGAGTTACATGGCTTTACAATTAGCAAAGTGGCTGGTTATGAGATTTTGCCTTTTATATTTAATGAACAATGCATACAATTTTATGGCATTCCTGTTTAAAAACAGGGAGGGGAGGCAGTGAAAGGAGGCTTATGTATTTGTTTAACAAAAAAACTGGGAGGAATCAAAGTACTTACATCTATATCAATACAGGATTCATTTTCATTCTTTTCTATATTGGCCCCAATCTCTTCCTGGGATGCCAGGATTTCTTTTCTCTCAGCAGCTTTACCTATGTTTGGCTTTGGCCTTTGCAATCTGCCCCTCGTTAGTCGTGCAGGTCTGAAAGCCTTCTGTTGATCATCTTTCTGCAGATTCATTTTTTCACTCAAGCTAAAACAATTACAAAGAAATAAAATCTAGTTATTCTGAAGTCACATACTTGCTTGTTTTCAGTATTCCCTTCTCTGATATGAATAAACAATTTATAATATAAAAGACTTCACAAGTATCCTCAAGAATGTTCTTCAAAGATATTCATACTTTTACACTTTGAATCTTTGAAACACAAGACATAATCCTGGAAGCCTGAGTATAAAAAGCATTTTTAAATCAAATTTTCATCACAAAATTAGAAACTCTACACCTGACAAGCATGTAATACAATTCCTCACTAAGTATAATATTGTGTAATGCACACCTCCAGGGAACTGGAAATAGATTATAATATAAACGTACAGTTCATAATCCACTGGTTCAGATTCAGGCTGGCGCAATGCCTATTTGAGACCGCCGCTGAAAGTTAAATATTCCCTTTTGAAACCCCTCGCTATAAGCAAAATTACCCAGAAATACATATCTTACCCATTAACTTATCTAACAAGACTTTGTTAATAATCCTGTTAATAAATTGAGGGAAAATGAAATTGCTAACTCAATGAATCCATATCACAATTTATTTCTACAATATGTATTAAACATAAAGGGCATTATTAAAATATTTTAACACCTACTGCTGAAAATGGACTTAAAGTACACAGCTGAAAATAAACTTCAGACAGTATCAAGCAGAAAACAAGTTACTGCAATCATTCCTAAGAGCTGCCATTTTTATTTTACTTCCTAAATACTTACTCAGACACAGTACCAGCTGTTGAGCTCTCGCTCTCTGTATTCTCCATTCCAGAAATGTCGAGTGAATTCATTTTATCCTGCTCCATGTGAGTCTATGAATTCAATGTTTTACATTTAGTCTACTTAACTTCAAAAAGTTCAAACTTTGCAATAAATAAAGGGAAATTACAACAACAAAATTTCTTTTGTACTTCTAATTAGAAGAGTTTTGAAAACCATACATACAAATTTAAGTATTATAAAACATACAGAGTGGGGCAAAAGTAGGTTTACAGTTGTTTGTATGGAAAATAATGCAATAATTAACAAAAAATAATATAAGAATAAACTTGTGTTTCACATACTCACAACTGTAAACCTACTTTTGCCCAGCCCTGTATAATCACATACATTACTGACAAAAGCACAAATCAGTATATCCTTTCTGGAAAGCCTATTGCCAATATGAATCAAGAGCCTTAAAAATATTCATCCTTTCTGACGCAGCTGTACGATTTCTAAGACTGTATTCTAAAATATTTAGATAAAGATTTAAGTACAAGGATGTTCACTGGAATATTATGCAAAAGAGCAAACACTGTATAAACAGGCAAAATATTCAATAATGAGTAAATGGTTAAAAAATTCAGTTCACACCCATTGATAAAATATTATGAAGTCACCAAATTAAAAAAGCATGTTTTCAAAAGATGTTTAATGATATGGAAAAATATTTATAAAATGTTAAGTGCCAAAGAAGGGTAAAAAACTGAATTAAAACTACTAGTTAATTTTGTAAAAGAAAAGCTGGAAGAATTAATATGTTAAAAGGTTAGTTGCATCTGAATAATGAAATTACAAGTTACAAGTAATTTTTGTTTTAATATATTTTTTTTAATACTCACCCAAGGATGTGTTTTTATTGATTTTTAGAGAGGGAGGAAAGTAGGTAGAGGGAGAGAAAGAGAACATTGATGTGAGAGGCTCCATACAACTAAGCGACACCAGCCAGGGCTGTTCTAATTTTTATATGAATCTATATTTCCCCAATTTTCTATAATTTAAAAATATCTTCTATAATTATAATATACTATATTTTAAAAAGCATGATAAGAAAGATATTTCAGATAAGAGGAAAAAGGTAGACTAACATTTTAGCAAAAATGAAAAACATACAACAATATAATGCTGGCAGGAATATAAGGAAACAGGAACATTCATTTGATACTTGCAGCAATGTAAATAGTCATGTTTTTGACTGTCAGTCTGACAATGCACAAGACCTATAAAAATATTGAAAATACTTTGCCCCATTAATCTAACCACCTCTGGAAATTTATCCTTTGTCTTATCCTTAAGAAAGTCCTATTTACAAAATTGTTTGCTTTTATTTCAAAAGTTTTTTAAAAATGGAAATAACCTAAACATCTACCACTAGGAAAATGGTTAGTAAATTGATAAGTTAACCCGATGCAACCATTTAAAAGGATCAATCAATCCCAAGAAAGTATAAATGAATAATTTCAGAGAAAAAAGTTTTAAATTTTATGTTATAATTAAAAACTACAGAAATGTTTACATATATAAAAAGAGTCAAATTTTATAAAGGAAAAACAGAGTAATGTAACTGTGTTTAGATGAAAGGGTTGTAGATATAATTTTATGTATGGCTGGTTTAAAAAATATTTAGAATAAATATTTTATATGAGTCAGACTTGTCATTACCGTACTGAAGATGTTTGAAATTTGTCCTCGGTTCTAAAGAAAATGCGTAAGTCCTGGCCAGTGTGGCTTAGTTGCTTGAGTGTCATCCCAAGCACTGAAAGGTCCCGGTTCAATTCCTGATCACAGCACATGCCCATGGTGTGGGTTTGATCCCTGGTAGGAGTGCATTCAGGAGGCAACAGATTGATGTTTCTTTCTCACATCGATGTTTCTCTCACATCAATGTTTCTCTCTCTCTCTCCCTCTCCCTTCCCCTCTCTCTAAAAATCAATATAAACATATATAGCTTTTAAAAATTGAATTAAAATAAAATAAAGCAGAAGCCTAGTAAGACAAATTTAATATTAATAGGTAAATTGTTCAAAAAAAAAAAAGCACAAGCAGAAGACTAATAAGACATTTAATGTTAATATGTAAGTTCTTGTATCTTTGTTTTAGTATGAGCAACATTACTTTGTAACTACAACTAAACATCTTTACTTCCAACTATTCAGAAAACTTTTTTTATAATTTTAATATCCATAAAGTCTCTAACTTCATACCTTATCAATTGAAGTTTCTGGATGTAAACTCTTACTCTCTCCATCTCTTTTACCTTGTGGAAGAACTGATTTCTTCCCAACAGCCCTTGATAAATTAGGTTTAGGTCTCTGGAGTCGTCCTCTCACCATCGGTTTAACATTTTCTGTTTGATCAGTTTCCCTAAAAAAAAAAAAATTATTTAAATTGCACTATCATTGAGGCATACTAAATGAAATTCTTTAACAATCCACTCAGAGCCAAAAAAAAACTCCTTTAAGCTTACTTACGATAAGAGTAGCAAAGAAAACTGAAAAAGAAGAGCAATGAGGTAATAACTAACTTGTTCCAGCAGACGTTAAAAACGTAGTAGTTCGCATCAATAATTAAAACACTGTGGTACTGACATAGAAAGAAAAAGATAAATGAGACAGAAAAGAAAGCTGAGATGACCTCAAAACACACGATTTTAGTATAAAATAAAGTTAGCATTTCAAAACAGTGAAGATAAGATGAAATACAAAATAATAATATTCTTAAAAGTATTAAATAATGGTGGAAAAACTGGTAAGAATGGGGAATAAAATAAAATTAGCTTCACTCCTTGCACTGTACTCAGATATATTCCTAATGGATCAACGATTTAAATGAAACCATTAAGAAAACATGGATAAGTATTATTTTATAATCTTGAGGTAGGATAAGACCTAAAATTTGATTAAAAGTTCAGGAGCCATAAAAGAAAAAACTGAGAAAATTAACAACATAAAAATTTAAAATTTTACATTGCTCAAACATGGCCAGATCAGAAGACAAATTACAAACCAAGAAAGCATATTTTACAACTCACACCACAAAGCTTACCTCCTTAAAATATAAAGAATTCCTACAAAAAATATCATCAATAACTCATTAAAAAATTGGACAAAGAATATGTACAACTTAAAAAATAAAAATAGGTTTAAATATGAAGAGATGCTCGACTTCACTCCCAATAACGAAAGTACATATTGCCCTGCTGGGTAGCTCAATTGGTTAGAGCATCATCCTGATACATCAAGGCTGCAGGATCAATCTCTGGTCAGGACACATACAAGAAGCAACCAATGAATACATAAGTAAGTGGAGCAACAAATCAATATTTCTCTCTCTATAAAATCAATAAATAAATATTTTAAGAAAAGTACATATTAAAGTAGACAGAGAGAGACTACATGAGCGAGCACAAATGTGACAAGACATTAAAAAGGTTGCTGATTTGATTCCTGGTCAGGGCACATGCCTGGGTTTTGTGGGCTCAATGGTCGGTAGGGGCGTGCAGGAGGCAGCCAATCAATGTTTCGTTCTCACATCAATGCTTCTCTCTCTCTCTCCCTCTACCTTCCTCTCTCTTTAAAAGTCAATAAAAAAAATCTTAAAAACAAAAAAAATCAGAGAACTACCAGGAATTATATATAGATATTCACTGTTCTATTCCTTTGACTTTTATTTGACTTTTATTTAGGTTAGAAAATGTTAAAATAAAAAACTGAAGAATATTCAAAAAAGAATTACATACCCCTGCCAAAAAAGAAGGAATGGGGTGGAAAACTATACTGACGTGTTATTTTACAATCTATCAAGACCAGCAAAAATTCAAGTTTAATAACAATGTTATTAGTTGGTAAGGAAGACAGATGCTTTCTAACATTGTTGGTGGGAATATAAACTAGCCTAACTCCTATGGAAAGCATTTTGACACTATCTATGAAAATCCTAAATGTACACACATATATATCCATGGAGCAAGCATTTTCATTTTTAGAAACCTACCCTACAAATATACTTGCATATAGATGAATGAATGGAGATGTAAAATTATAAGCATTGTTTGTAAAAACAAACTATATAGCCATCAACAGGGCATTGATAATATGTGATTCTTCCACACAAGAACACTATGCAGCTATAAAACAAATAAGGTCTTTATGTAAAGATATGAAGATATAAGGGGGAAAAATTATAAAATGGTATGTATACAACTAGAATTTTTAAAAGAGTAAAAAATTATATTTGTACTAGCATTTTTTTTTTTTTTAAATCCTCATGCAAGGATATTTTCTCCAATGATTTTTAGAGAATAGAGGGAAGAAGGGATGGGGAGAGAGAGAGAAAGAGAAGGAAGGAGAGAGGGAGAGAAAGAAACATCAGTGTGAGAGATGAGAGAGACACATCGATTGGTTGCCTCCCGCACTCACCCTGACCAGGGCCTGGGGTCGAACCTACAACCCAGGTGCGTGCCTTTGACCAGGAATTGAACCCGAGGCCCTCCAGTACTCAGGCCAACGCTCTAGCCACTGAGCCACATCAGCCAGGGCTATCTGTATTAGCTTTAATATACTCTTTTTTAAAAATTTCTGAAAGAATATAAAAAAATAAAACTGATTGCTTGTTAGAGTGAATAAGGATATGGTTGGAGGGCTATTTCACTCAATACCTTTTTACACTTCTAGGCAGTTGAACCATAAGAATATATTGCCTATTCCAGAGACTAACTTAAATTATTATTTTAAAAAATAAGGTTGATTCTTAATATAACCTTGCTTTACTGAAAATAATTCATAAACTGAATAGCTTTTAAGCCCGTATGAAGAGTTATGGGGGAGACAAAAATGAAGTCTGAATTCTTGACATATCTCTTCAAAGAGGAATTCCTGTGGTGCTTTTGTTCTATTTTTAGTGAAGATATTAATTTAACCAGTATCTATATACTAAAGAACATAATCATCTCTTTAAAATCATAAATATCAAAGTCCACTACTTTGACAACAGGCGTGAATATTAACTCAAACCAAATAAAAGTAAAATCTCATAGAAAACATTTAAGCTTCTAAATTATTTTAGAATTTCGTAAGTTACCACTTTGCTAAAATTCGTGTCACTATAATACATCACATATGATAGAGGCTCTTTCTATAGTGAAATATAAAGTTAAAAACCCTGATGTCACACTCAAACCACAGACATATTAAATAGTCTATAGCTACCTTCTCACCCCTAAAGGAAACAACAATATTATCATTTCTTAAATAAGAAATTATCAGAAGTTTGAAAAATTTGAAACCCTACCATGTAAAGTACTTACAGTGATATATTTTTTAGTTGAACAATTCTTTCTTCTGTACAACTACTCTCAGCATTATTCACCTCACACAAGGCTCTAATTCCAACTTCTGATGCATGCATATCTGAGGTGCTTGAATCTGAAGTCTCAGTTGCTGCTGACATGGCATCATGTTGACTACTAAGGAAATGAAAACATCAGGGGGAAAGAAATTCTTAGTAATGCATACTTTATACTAATTCTTTAAAAGGTTTTTTAAAAATACTTTATACAAACCAACACTATGGATGATAATCCTTCATATTATGGAAAAATTAAAACAAATATTTTGGCTTTTCTATGATCTCTCTTGCACCATGTTATTAAGAACTATTCCTTCAAAGAAAGCAGCTGCCACAAATTAACAAGCTTGGGAAAGTGCTCAAAAAGTCACAAAAGAAAAATCCCTTAAATATGGGATTCACAAATCAAATGTGTGTGTAAAATCATAGTAATATTTAGAAATTATCTTTCACTAAAATTTTATGAGAGCATTTCAGATCTTGCTCCTCAGAAGATGTGTCATTTTGGCTCAAATAAACTCATAAAAATTCAAAAATAGCCCTGGCCTGTATGTCAATAAAGACACATAAAAAACAACAAAAAAAGAGAGAGAGATTATTGTGGCTATTCAAGTTTATTAAAAAAAAAAACACACAAAAAACCTTATGCTAGGTGAAATAAGCTAGTCAGAGAGGGACAAATAATATAAGGTATCTAAAGTAATCAAACTCATAGAAACATAAAGTAGAACGGAGGTTGCCAGGGGGCTAACAGTAAGAAGGAAATACGGAGCTGCTGTTCAACAGATGGAATTTCAGTCATGCAATGTGAAAACATTATAGAGCTCTACTCTACAACACTGTGCTTATAGGTAACATACTATATACACTTAAAAATTTGTTAGGAGAGATGTCATGTTACATGCTTTCTTACCACAATTTAAAAAACAAATACAAAAAAAACTCAGCAGGATACATCATATTCAAACTGCTAAAAAACAAAAATAAAGAGAAAATTTTTATAGAACATGATAAACCCATGCAAATACTATCTATCATAAGAAAGCTGTGGTGGCAAAGTATGCATCAGAACAAATGGCAATATCAGAATGATATGATACAAATGATAAAAGGCAGATTTCACCACAAATAGACAACAATTCAAGATATGTATGTACCTAATAACAGAGCCTGAAAATACATAAAAACAAAAGAAAGGAAAAAGAAACAGGCCAAATCACAATTACAGTCGGAGACTTCATACTCCTCTCTCAGTAACTGACAGAAAACGTAGGCAGTCAGGAAAGAGATATGAAATACCTCAATGAAGGAAGAGGGTCCGTTTTTCTCACAACTCTGTCACTGGAGGAAAAATCCTCAACTTCACCGACGGTTTGTACAAGGGAAAGCTTCTGCTCCTTATTGCTTTCATCTCCTTTTCTCTCGGGACTTAAAGACTGACATTTATCTATAAACACAAAATGCAAAATGCATGCTATTCCAAAAACTGAAAGCAAAAACATCTATATTTTAAAGCTCAAAGGAATTTACATATAACACTCTCTTCCTATAAATCATTAATCCATTCAAGTTCTTATCTGCACGAGACAGATATATTTTTAGAGCATTAATGAAAAATCAATCAACTTATAACTGTTTCTGTTGTGAGGATCTGCACAAATTTCTTGGGCAGTTTGTAGCATCCTCTTTTTATCCTGCTTAAATTTTAAGTGGTTAAATATGTCTAGTTAGGAAACAAAGTGGATTTGGCTCTTCTGTTCCTTCAGAAGTATCATCATTGTAACACAGTAACAGCTATCATTTCAGTACTTACTAAATAACAGAAAGTGTAAGTCCATCAGATAAATCTCTTAATATGCAAAACAACCCTACTGAAAGGTATTAATACTAACCCATCACAGAGAAAAAGGATCTGAGTTCAAAGACCTTAAGTGACTCACCCAAGGTCACACTTAGCAAATACAAGAGCTGGACTTTAAACTAAGGTCTGCCCGATTTCTAAAGTCCCACTGCTTGCTTAATCACTGAGCTATTCTGCTTTACATGTAATATCTTTAATAGTTAGCCACAAAAGAGCACAATATGCTAATCCATATAAATCATACTATGCTACCTGCAAGGACTCATTTATTAAAATCATATTGGTACCCTGGCCAATAGGGTTCAGTTGGTTGAGCATCAAAAGGTTCCCAGCTTGATTCCCAGTCAGGGTACATGCCCAGGTGTCAGGCTCGATTCTCAGTAGGGGGCATTCAGGAGGCAGACAATCAATGTTTCTCTGTCTCTCCCCCTCCCCCTTCCCCTCTCTCTATAAAGTCAATTAAAAAATATTTTTTAAAAAATCATACTGGTGAAGCTGAACTACATAAAGTTTAAATTCTATAGACTCTTAAGAAAAGAGAACAAGACTTCCCTAACTCTTAGCCCTCCTTCCCTAGCAATTCGTGTCAATATGTCTGCATTCTATAGAAGTTTAAAAAATGAAAATGGGAGGAATAGTTATTCCAATAGCTCTTTTATAGAAATTAAACAACTTATTATGGGTTCACAGAGGTGCTCTGAAAAAGTAACATGGAAATCTGTGATTTATTAAATAACACAAGCAATATACATTTAACTAGAGTAAGTCCTCACTTTACCTTGTCAATACATTCCTGGAACTGAGGCAAAATGACATATAACAAAACCAATTTTACCAGAGGCTAACTGATATAAACAAAAGTTAAGTTCCTAAGGCATCTCATGAAGATGTAAAAAAATGATGTTGAATGAAACCACATTATTCAAGGGCCTGCAGTATATGCACTGGACTTATCATTGTTAATGTGAGTACATAGGAGATAATACTTCTTAGAGGCAAACTTGAGAGAAAAATCTCCCCATTTAGCTTTGTTTTTGGGTTTTGTTTTACAACTTTTTTCCTACTGAATTAAAAATAAAAGTGTTTAACACAGTATATAAATAAAAAACCAATTAATAAGCATTATTAATTACTACTATCCAGGATAAAGGCATTTAAGTTACACACCATATTATTGTACAGTATGTCCTTAAATAATGCAGGGGCTATTAAAATATGTAAGAAACTTACTTTTCTGTTTTTCTCCTTCTGAAGGGCCTGGCTGCACAGTGGCACTTCCTGAAAGATTTTTTACTTCTTGTTTACCAGCTTCATCTTGATTTTTCCTTCTCCGTTTCTTTTGATTTAGGTCTGGTTCTAATGCAATCTGTTCTGAATCCTGTCCTGATAAAGTCAAAGGCTGCAGTTCTTCTTGAACTGTCTGAACATCGTTTTGAGATTCTTCTGTGTCTGAAATTTTAGCACTCATAGACTCATCTGGACTATCATTCACTTCTTCACTGGCAACTTTTTTCACTGAAAATAAAAGAAATGGTTATAAATTACATGAACAACCTACAGAAAAATTCTTAAAGTTGGAGAAGATACTCAAGGATGTCCTCTATAATATTATTTGTATGAGTAAAATTTTTAAGACAACATAAAATGCCCAACAGAGAACTAAATAAGTTATAATACTACATTGATGCTATAAAAATCCATGCAGTAAATAATAATGAAGTAGGCTTATACGTAGTGATATATTTCAAAAAATACTGTTACATTAAAAAAAATATATCAAGCACAGCCTGCCTGGCTCAGTGGTTGAGCATTGACCTATGAACCAGGTCACAGTTCGATTCCCAGTCAGGGCACATGCCCAGATTGCGGGTAGGAGGCAGTTGATCAATGATTCTCTCTCATCACTGATGTTTCTCTCTCTCTCCCTCTCCCTTCCACTTTCTGAAATCAATAAATACATATTTTTAAAACAAATTTTTAATCAAGTTGCAAAACAACACATAGTATGACCTCATTTTTATTAAACAAAAACAATTACATATACTCTAAGACACACACATACATATATGCATAGAAAGAGTTTAGTAATAGTTATGCCTAGGAAATCTGAAGAATCTGGCAGGATAGGAGAAAGACTTCAAAACTTTTTTTCCTGGATTATTTTTCAATGAACAATCTTTTTAAGGCATATTAATAGTCAACTGTATCAAAAGATGAAAACAGCCCTTTCCAGATAGCTCAGTTGGCTGGAGTGTCGTCCATACACCAAAAGGATGTAGGTCCAAGGAACATACCTAGGTTCCAGTTCAATCCCCAGTCGGGGCCATAAGGGAGACAACTGAACGATATTTCTCTGTTTCTTTTCCTTCCTCTTTCTCTAAAATCAACTTAAAAATTAAATTAAATTTTAAAAAACCATATCCTCAGGTGAGGGTTTTTTAAAAAAAATTTTTTAAAGAAAGACAAGAACAATAAAATAATTTAAAAGCCATAAAGAGATCACCATGGAAAAAGCATCCAAACCAAAAGTAAACAACTTCATAACCATGACTGATCAGACATCTCAAAAAATATCTAATCCTAAAAAAAATAATAAAATTCAATGTCATTTATTTTTGTGGGAAAAAATTCAAAACAAAATTTTAAAACAGAAAATAACACTTGATTTATTCTCCATCAGAATAATAATCAGCAATTTTTAAATTCTGAGACTTGTAATAATATATCTGAAATTTTCTCACATTTAGTAAGATACAGTGAGTTATTTGTATTATCAACTATAACATGATAATCACAACTTTAATACATCTATTTTAATCTCCTAGGGCTATGTATAGTAAGTTAAGAAAAATGACTAAAGAGTAAAATAACTTTGCAGTTATCAATACTACTTTTTAAAAGATATAGACATCATACTCCAGAAAAGAAAATTCTAGATTGGCTCTGTTCAGAAGAGTTAACACAGCAGGCTATCCTTTGAAAGGTCTACTTAAAAAGGTTGGCCCACTGGCTATGTCTAGAAACTTGGGTTTGGGGAGAGTTCCCATCTGCCTACCTAAACTCTCTGTACAAATAATGTGGTTTATGCTAAACAACTGCTTTCCTTCTGGGAGTCCTGAATTCTGGTACATGCCAGGCAGAGGTTATGACCAACCTCCAATAAAATCCCTGGGCACTGAGTTTCTAACAAGCTTTCCTGGAAGACAACTTTTTACGTATCTCACTACAAGTTGGTGATAGGGCAATTAAGCATATCCTGTGTGACTCCACTGGGAGAAAATTCCTGGAGGCTTGTACCTGGGTTCCCTTACGCAATTCTGTATCAAAACTCTGACTACAAATTGCACTGTGTGTAAATTATAAATCAACTTTTTTAAGTCAACAAAGACCCATGTCCCTTTTCCCTTTGCTAATTTTGCTCTGTATCCTGTTATTGTAGTAAGTCTCAGCTGTTTACAACTATACGCTAAATCTCGAGCCCTCTCAGCAAATAATCTAACCTGGTGGGCAGTCTTTGGAAACCCAGCAGAGGCTCTCACAGTAGGTTTGAGTCCTGTCTCTGCCACTACTAACACTGTGAGACCTTAGAAAAAAAAACTTAGGATTTGCAAGACTATTTCTGGGTGATTAAAACGAACAGAAAAGGGCTGGGATGTGGACCAGCTGACATAAGGTTCCCTATCATTCCAACATTCTTTACATTATGTGATTATAGCTAAACACTGTCCTCTTAGATCAGAATTTAAATAAACTATAAGACTGAAAATTTTAAAAACCTACATATAAACAATTTCCTACCTGGTATAAGTCAACATTAACCCTCAGAAATAAGTTATACTCAAGCTATACAATTTAGTCACAAGTCCAAAGTATTAAGAGTTTCTTTTTTTTTTTAACATTAGAATTTTGTGCCAAACTTGTTTTACAGAGGAAAATGATAGTAAGTAACCAAACATGACACTCCAAAATTCTGATACTCTTTTATTATCTACAACTACACTCTAGATTGGGGTGGGGAACACCCGGCCCTTAGGCAGTATATGGCCCTCGAAATCATTTGGTCTGGCCCTACCCAGGAAACTGCAGGCAGGACTCTAAATTCAATAAATCTAGGAGCTTTTTTCATAGCTAATTTTTAAGTTGATAACTTTGTATGGCCTGCAGACGATGTTACAAATATCCAAATGGCCCTTGGCAGAAAAAAGGTTCCCCACCCCTGCTCTAAATGCAAGAATGTCAAGTAGCCCAGCCATGATAATTACAAAATTTTAAAGAGAGCTGCTGTTTTGAGCAAGGTAACGAAAGTGCCTGAACTACATGTGAACACTCAAAGACTTGAGGCACAATGTTACAAGTCTGTTAAGTAAAATAACACACTGTCTTTTGAAATAAATACCTTTTAAATTTTTTCGTGGTTTAGAGGATTTCTTCTCCTTTACACTCTGAGTTTTAATGGATTTTTGTTTTCTTTTCTCTTCTTCAGCAAGAACTTTCTGAAGCAAATGAGCAAAAAAATCGAAGTCAAAAGGGCGCTTTTCCTCTGTTTAAAAAAAAAAAGAAAAAGAACCTTCAAGTTTTCATTTAAGTATCATAACATCAAAAGCAAATTGGGCCTGGCCTGGTCACTCAGTTGATTAGAGCATCATCCTGATACGCCAAGGTTGCAGGTTCAATCACTGGTCAGGGCAAATACAAGACTCAACCAATGATGCATAAGTAAGTGGAACAACAAATCAGTGTTTCTCTCTCTCTCTCTCTCTCTCTCTCTCCTTCCCCCCCCCCTCTGAAAATCAATAAAAAATAAAGTAAATCGGCTTATCAACATAATGGAAAAACAACTCTAGTCACTATAGTAAACTCACATAATAGAACACTGAGTAATAAAAAGAAACAAAATTTTGTTTTGCTATTTAAAAAGGACCTACTGATAAAAGAAATAACTCAGGTGAATCTCAAACACCTGATGAGTGAGCCCTGGCAGGGTAGCTTAGTTGGTTGGAACATTGTCCCATATACCAAAAAGTTGCAAGTTCGATTCCTGGTCAGGGCACAAATCTAGGTTGCGGGTTCAATACCCAGTCAAGGCACATATGTGAGGCAACCAATTGATGTTTCTCTCTCCCTTCCTCTCTCTCTAAAATAAAAACAAACAAACAAGACACATATCCTTGGGTGAAGATTTAAAAAAACAACATAGTGCATGAATGAAACTAGACACAAAGGGGTACATCATGTATGATTCCATGAATAAGACATTCTGGAGCAAGCTAAACTAACCTATGATGAAAATAGTGGTTACCTGGGTCCGGATAACGGTGGAGACTGACTAGAAAGGTAGACAAGGGGCCTTTCTCGAGAGATGAAAATGTCCCATATATTGTTTTGGGTAGTGGTTACACCACCAATTCTTTGTCAAAACTCAAACTACAATTGCACTATGTATAAATTATAAATCAACTTTTTTTAAAAACCTAGGACTAAGAAGTCCTCATAGCCTATGCATCACGATATGCCCTCTCTTTATTACTATTTACTCTTCCAAACATTAGCAAAGAAGAAAGCAAATAAATATTGATAAGGATCACTCTCACTACACACCCATCAACAGCACTATATCAGAAAGAGCAATTTGTGAATAAATCAGGAGTAAATCCACTACAGGAGTTAAATCCTTGCCTAAGTTAAGCTCTAGTCTAAAAACATAGTAAAGCCCTGGCCGGGGTGGCTCAGTTGGTTGAAGCGTCATCCTGTGCACCAAAAGGTGGTGGGTTCGATTCCCAGTCAGGGCACATACCCAGGTTGCCAGGTCAATTCCCGGTCAGGACGTCTATGGGAGGGAACCGATCGATCAATGTTTCTCTCTCACATTGATATTTATTTCTGTCTTTCTCTCCCTACCTTCCTCTCTCTAAGATCAATAAGGGGAAAAAAGACTTAAAAAAATAGAGTAAAATGAATTTAAATAAAAATATAGTGAATGTAAATAAAATGTTGCTTTACATACATAAGCTCCAAAATTGGATGATTAGAAGATGGCCTCAGAAAAAGAGGTATATACCAAAACAAAAATAAATTAGCCTCAAGAAGCCAATCCCAAACCTGGGACTCCTGAAAGCCCAGTTTTATTGTAGACTCAGCCTTTATCTGTTCTGACCTTCTACAACAATGATGATAAGAAAGGCAGCACTAAAATAATCCATAAAGGTCCTCAGAGGAATCTGAAATATAAGTTCTAGAAAACACCATTTAGGTTTAAATTTTTTTTTAATTTTCTACTATAAAGCACTAAAATTAGTGAATTCTAAAGGTATCTATTATAATGGTTTTAACAATGGCTCCACACCCCATAAAAGACTATTTACAGCTTTATAAATTCTTTTCTGATTATAATACGTAAAACATAATGAAAAGTTTCGGACCACTTTTCTAAAATAGAGAGGGTTGAGGACTACAGTATTCCTGATTTTCCACAAGCCATTCCTGGAAGTGGTTTCCCTGAGGACCCAATACAACATGGGGCGTAGGGTCCACTCATCTACCTTAGTATTTACTCATTAAGTAAACGTACATGCTCCAAAACCTAAGTCTTCTCTCTAGGTATTATTCTAAGATAAGCTCTATGATAAATAGACACTGAATACATTTATTCATCATGAAACATCGGATAATTATCTTGCAAAGAATAGAGGAACTACTATATATATGATACATGTAATTGTTTTCTTTACAGATCCCTTGATATCTTTCTCTGGATTTGAAAAGAAAAAAATGTTAACTTTAATGAAGCTATTAGTTAAAAGCTGAAAGGTATACATTATACCTTCAAAGCAGGTGTAAATTCATATGTCATTTTTTCAGACAGTACTTCCCTGACCACCCAATCTAAATATCCACCCCTCCCTCTTTTTTCTTCCTCTTAGAAATTAATCACTATCTAAAATTATGCTTACAGACTATATCCCTTTCCCCATCCAATTACACCGAAGGCCATAAAAGCAGGATTTTCATCTGTCCTGTCACCATTATATACACCATGCCTAAATAGTGACTAGCACACAGCAGGTGGTCAGTACTATTGAATGAATTATGACTGACCACTGGAGAAGGAAATGGCTATAGTATAATATCTTCTAGAAACAATTAACTCCTTCTTGAATACAGAGCACTCCTTCAGAATAAAGAGCACTTAGAAATGGTATCTTCAATACATCTGTGACCTCCTGGACCCCAAAAGTCTGCTTGCTTGCTTCTTGGTATTTTAGCTAATCCCTTACCTATAGATCTGTATCAGCAGCCAGACCTGCACTGCTAAGGAGAAAAATTTTCAATCTTATTCTATGACAAAACAAATCTAAAACACACTGGAACCAAAGACAAAAGATTGGCCACTTTTTAGGATCTCCAAAGGATTGTTAAAGAGGTCTTAACACTTACGGAATGCTTTGTCTATTCTCCATCCATTTGTTTTCTCTTCACGTTTAAATTTATTCTGTTAACAAAACAAAAGATGCTATAGTAATTTTCTCCCATTAAAGGATTATGTTTTTAAAAAAATAAGCATTAAAATGAAACTCTTATAGTAACATATAACCCAAATAAATAAAAATGTCTTTGCCAATGAGGAAGTTAGTTAACCTTTAGCTTTTTAAAATTGAGATGAAAGATTTATACTGAGCTTCCTGATCCTCCTTATGATCAACAGCATGTATCAGAAATGAAAGCTAGATTTACAGATAGAAAAAAATTAAGACCACTAATACAAAAATAGATCAAACCTGTAATCTATTAAGCTAACCAATACTAACTCTATATAAACTAATATATTCATATCAAGTTAAACCTATTACATTATTATACTAATACGTTTTTAATGGCATGGAGGGGAGATTGTAAAGAAACACCTAAGCAAAATTTTGAAACAAGCCATGTTTATCTCTGGGACTTTATATTAAGGGACGTTTCCTCATGCCCCATTCCCAGTTCCACTGCAGATTAACTTCATTATAATGGAGAAAGAAAAGGGTTGAGGGTCAATCCATCCTAAGGTCATTAGGATATCTGAGGGCCTAAGTTTGTGTCCCAGAATGTCTAACCATACATCCCGGGAGAGGAAACAATCTGATAATTTCTCCCTTCTACAGATCAGAGGTCTAATGTTTTTATTAAAAAATATAAAAATAAAACTTTTCAATGAAAAAAAAATAGAGAAAAGCACACAAAACAAAGAAATTACTTCATGGCCCCCTTTTTCTCTCCAAAAGAACCCAACCAACTAACCTGATTTTTAAAGCAATTATTTTCTTGCAGTTCCCTTCTGCTTACCATTCAAGAGAACATCCTTAGACACTATAGCTTATCCTTACCCATTTTTTTAAAAACTTATGACTTTAACGTCTTTAAATCTACAGATTACTCCTTTCCTATTCTTTATTTTTCTTCATAAACTTTTACCAAGTAATACAAAGTTTTCAATGATCATCTTTCTCCCTTAAAAGATTATATTATTCTTTAAACATCTCAGAAGTGCCCTGGCCGGTATGGCTCAGTTGGGTGAGTGTCAACTGAAAGTGCATTACAGCAACACAGTGTGCACTCAAATGCACTCCCACCCAGGAAACCTATAATAAAGTTTCTCAACAAAGGGAACTATAAAGCAGAAAAAGCTCATCCTTTTAGGCATACAAAAGCACTAATTGACATCACTGTTAATAGTGTCACTGGCTATCCCATATTTAAGGTGGCCTAAGAAAGCAATGGTTACATCAGATAATGAGAACTGTGTAATTCAGCATGCTTCTCTTCATGCCTTCCGAGGAAATAAAGAAATATATTTCATGATAAAAAAGCTACCCTTAACCCAAATATTCTAGTACATTTATCTTCCCTCTTCATTATCTAATTCTTCTTTTACCTAGTGTCACTGCCTTTACTGGTACTCCCAGAAAGATATTTTAGAAGTGGACAAGATATAAATAAGAAAATACAACACTAAAGTTAAGGAGATTGTATTCATATTAGAACTGAGAAATAGTACATTACATTTTGAGCTATAAAAAGAAACAGGTGTACCAAAAACATAATAGTGAAAAGGGTGGACTAAGATTTAAATCAAAGGTTAAAAAAATTAGTAATTTTTAGTCTCTTTCCAATTAACAAATGTAATGGGTTTACCTTAATTTCTATCCTTGCTCTGTGAGGAAAAAGCTGTCCAATCATAGAAAAGTCAGTTCCTACCATGCTGATGGCTAAAAAAAACATATCTGTTTCTGTAAGAAAGACCAAAGATTAATCTTCTCAATATTTCAGAGGAAAAAAAAACCTTACCTAAGTATTTACTTTGAGTTATAAATTTGACAGTACTTAGAAGTTTTTTATTACAGTCCAGGAAATCTTTAGTCATAGATATATGTCTATATACAAAATTATAGACATATTTCAATTTTGTTCCAAAGAACCTCATGGATTTAAAAACATCTTCAAGCCCTGGCCAGGTAGCTCAGTTGGATAGAGTCATTCCAATATGCCAAGGTTGCAGGTTTGATCCCCAGTGAGGATACATACAAGAGGCAACCAATGAATGCAACTGGAACAACAAATTGTTATCTCCCCCCACCCCCAATCCTCTCTCTAAAATCAGTCAATAAAAATAAATTAAAAACATCTTGCCCAGCTGGACATGGCTCAGCAGTTGAGCATCGACCTAGGGTCTAAGAGATCCCAGTTTGATTCCCAGTCAGGGCACATGTCCAGATTGTGGGCTTGATCCCCAGTCGGGGGTGTGCAAGAGGCAGCCGATCAATGACTCTCCCATCATTGATGTTTCTCTCTCTCTCTCCCCTTCTCCCCTCCTCTCTCTGAAATTAATAAAGATATATTTTTAAAAAACCAAAAAAAAAACTTTAAACTTTCATATAGAAATATGGTATAAGAAATATGCATACTCACACCAAAGCAGCTAGAATTAAAAAAAAAAAAAGACATTCTACCTATCTGGTCTCAAAATCAGTCATAGCCAATACAATATTACCATTATGCAGGCAAAAGAAAGTAGCTGGAAAAAAACATAATAAATTGTTGACAAAAGTAACCTCAAGAGAATAAGACTGGGGAAGTCAGGGAAGGGAAGTATAAAATCTTTCTTTTCACTCTATATTATTCTGTTGTGTTTGAATCTTTTCCCAAAACAAACTATTATTTCTACAATAAAAAGTAAGTAATAAGCAACAGCATGCAATAGGTATTATATACTTTTTTAATAGCATAATTTTTACTTTTAGAAACTTTATTATGCAATACTATCTGAGGTAGAACATTATTGTAAGCATTAGCAATATTATTAATTCTTCATTGAAACAATATTTGTTGTACAGGAATTTGACAGAGAGAAACATTCCAGCCAAAATGACCATAATGCTAATTCCTAAAAATCCTTCTAAGATAAAGTCAGGGTTATAGTTCCATGAGGGTGGGGGAGTGTCAATAAAATTAGACAGGCAGAAACAACATGGTAGCTTGCATTTTATTTACTTAGGAGAGACCTGGTTTAATTCAGAAACAGAGAAAATAATTCAATTCACTTCAAATAAATGACCTACACGATTTAAAATGAAAATTAGTTACCTTTATTTGACCATGGTTTAGAATAATAGTTTTTCCTAAAGCTGGAATAGGTAGTTGTAGAACCACGCTCAAATATGGGGTCATTTTCCTCAACAACAGAGGGACCTTTTGTCCTTAAAACTTCTACAGTTAAACTGAAAGAAACAAATTTTAAAATAGATCCATACTAAAAGCGAGTAAAAACACACATAGTAAATACTATTTGAATAGTGATATTTTGAAATTTACCATGGCAGAGTCATATCAAAAGTACAATATACATTTGAGGTATGCATATTTTCTAAGAATCAAATTTTCACATAAAATGTGATCGTCAGGGGCCCTGGCCAGTAGCTCAGTTGGTTAGAGCATCGTCCTTATACGCCAAGGTTTCAGGTTCAATCCCCAGTCAGGGAACATACAAGTATCAACCACTGTATGCATAAATAAATAAGTGGAACAAAAAAATCAATCAATCAATCCCCTCCCCCCTCTATACATATCTCAAATCAATATATTAAAAAAATAAAATGTGACTTCCAGAGGGTAAAAATAAATACCAACCTTTTTTTCAAAATCCTTAAAAGAAATATAAAATTCAGGAAATATCTTTGGGCTACATAAAAAACTGTTTGTTTCATTGACTTCCACATGTCTCCTATATTTAATATATATTATCATGCTAGACTCAACAAAGGATATTGAGAAATACAAACATTTTATACTTATGTTTTACATTCCTGCACACAAAGGAGTTAAATATGCTTTTAACTATTTAATGACTAGTAAAATCATCATCACAAAATAATGGAAACAACATGAAAAAACAATTATCATTAACAGTATTACATTTATGTTTAATCACCACAGAATCTATATGTTATAAAATGATTTTTTATTAATTAAACTACCAGGAGACTTTCTATCCCTCTTTTTTATTTACTTACTAAAAGTTATCTACTTTTAAAAAAATACACTTCGGAAAGAAAACTAAATTCCACAATGCCAAATATGAGAAATCTAATGTCATAACTGAGAAATTAAACCTCACCATAACAATAATCAGATCATATGTTAAACCTATGTTTCATTGAATTTTCATTAGTTACCACGATCCACCAGAATACGGTATTAGTTAATATGAAAACTTGAATATTGACTTCAAGACTGAGTCAATCTTTGAAATCTATCCTCAGAAGAAGGCAGCATGTGATTGGCTCAATAGCTCGTCCCAATTACCAGTAAAGTTGGTAAAACAGCAGTAGGTTAATGGTCAGGACTATCTTCTCATACAAAATACAGACTTATAAAAACTGCTAAAAATTATAGCCCTGGCCACACAGCTCAGTTGCTTACAGCGTCATCCTGATACTCCAAGGATGCAGGTTCGATCCCGTCAGGCTACATACGAGAATCAACCAATGAATGCATAAATAAATGGAACCACATATCGATGTCTGCCTGTCTCTGTCTCTCTCTCTTCCCCTTCCTCTCTCTCTAAAATCAATTATTAATAGTTTTAAAAATAAAAACTTAAAAATTTTAAGTGAATCTAACACACCCTTCTTTTACAACATGCATTTCACAAATATAAACATCGTAGTCTAAATGACAATGACAGAGAAACTCAAGCTCTCATTAGAAAAAGCACTTCTGTTATCATGAAACCAGAATCTCTTGCCCTTTTTTAACTTACCTTTCTTCATCCAAAATTATAGAACCATCTTCTGCCACTTTTACTCGGGGAACCAGCAATGGGCCATCATCCACCTCTTCTTCCAGTTCTTCACTATCTTCAGCATCAGGAGTACTCTTATCTTCTTGTCTATCAAAGGTAAACACAGGATGACTCATACAGCCACCAGTAACATTTCTGACTACTATGAACTTCTAATATAAATTATTGCAAATTCAACTTTCTAGCTATTTCCAACTTTCCCTGTAACTTAATTGAAAATATTACGTGTTGCCCTAGCCAGGTAGCTCAGTTGGTTAGTGCTGTCCCAATATGCCAAGGTTGCAGGTCCAATCCCCAGTCAGGGCACATACAAGAATCAACCAATGAATGCATAAACAATAAATTGATGTCTCTCTCTCTCAGTCTCCTAAAAATCAATCTATAAATAAAAGAAGGGGGAAGAAACAAGATTGCGGCGTAGGTAGCAGAAGGTACCCGCCGGCTCCCACAACCACATCAAAATTACAACTAAAATACAGAACAACTATCACTCAGAGCCTCCTGAAATCTGGCTGCACAGCAGCCCTACAACCAGGGAACTGAAGAAGCATGGAGACCAGTAGGAGGGGTAGAGACCCGGGTGGATCTGGGCTGGACCACAGAGACTCGGCCACAGGCCCACACCGCTGCCGCGTTTTAAACCAAGGAGGGACATCTTGGGGTGGAGGTTTCCCGGAGGAGTGAGGGGTCCCAGCCCCACAGCAGGCCCCCAGCCCAGGGCTCCAGGACCAGGAAGAGACGACCCCACAACTTCGGGCTATGAAACCAGCGGGGACTGTGGCTAAGGGTCTAAGAGGCTGCAGGAGCCCAGGCTTTCCTCTTAAAGGGCCCGTGCACATACTCACTCAGACCCGCTCCCTCTGAGCCCAGCATCGGACAGCAGCTTGAAAGGAACCTGGGACACTTGGGGAGGAACTAACCTGCCTGAAATTGGGGTGAGAGCTGGAGGGGCAGCTTCCTCCCAGTCAGAAGAGTTGGTGAAGGCCATTGCTCCTTTGGCGAGTCCTCCCCGCACACAGCCGGCAGGCAAGAGCCACATCTGAATCGCCAGCACCTGACTCCCACCTTTGGCCCC